ATGGACATTGTATGACTCGAGAAACATATACAAATCTGTTAACATCATGCTGGTGTTTTTGCATGGCTGAACTTTTTGATCCCACAGATCACATACTGCATATAGTGCAGAGGCTTAAATTAAGCTTGACATACTGTAGGTGATATCACAGTTAACATTCTGTCTGTTTTCAAAGTTACATTATAATTGTGTGGTACAGTCATGCAGATTTCATCTGAGCTGAAATAGTAGACGAGATGTTCACTGACAAGTATGTCAACAAAGTTTTAAGTTTTTGCAAGTAGATTGTCACTATCATTGACTGACTAGAAGTTTGAAAAAAAAAAAACCATTCAAATATGTGAATTAACAGTGTGGCTGCCTATATATGTGATAAGCTCCAGCATGTTAATAACCTAATATGGTTATCTGAGGAAGAGTTACATAATGTATATGTTATTTGGAATGGCTACGTGTAAACTCGTGTCACTGCACATGAATGCTGACGATCCAGTGGCTGCGTGTGGATGTACTGTAGGTGGGGGCAGGTCAGAAAGCACAGGGGGGATGTGTGGGTAAGGCCATTGTTTTCTGTCTTTGGAGTCAGGCGAGGATTGTTCACGGGGCACTCCAAATGGGCTGTGGTCGCGGGTGTGGTGTTCAAAGTTTATTGTGTGCAGTTTCCTGTCCTGATCACTATAAATAGAGAAACAGAAGAAGATGGAGCACTGTGGCTGAAGCTCACAGCTGTTCAAACTGCAGAAAACCCCGGGAGCAGAGGTCAACATAACTAAGACTTCACAGTGCTCCGCCAGCCGTGACTTTTACAATTTAAAAATTCTTATAAACTGAAACTGAATGGACAGAATGAACCCAGAACCCAACTTTCCTCTCCAACAAAGTATTAGGGCCACATTGAGAGAAAAAAAATCTTAATATTACAACAGCGAAGTTGTAAATTAATGAAAATAAAGTTATACTGTTTCAAGAAAATAACATATAAGATTACACAAATAGACTTTATTAGAAAAAAGTTGCAGTAGTGTATGAATAAACTCAGATTTAAGATAAAAATCTCATGAATTTTTGGCAGAAAGTCAGGTGACATAGTATAGAGAGCAACAAAGTCATAGTGTCTCTGTACTTGTTTTATTAGATCTTAGTGCGGCATTTGACACAACTGACCATCAAATTCTGCTACAGAGACTGGAACATTTAATTGGCCTAAAAGGTTGTGCACTAAGCTGCTTTAAATCTTATTTATCTGATCGTTTTCAGTTTGTTCATGTTAATGATGAATCATCTCTACGTACTAAAGTTTGGTTAGGAGCTCCACAAGGTTCTGTGCTTGGACCAATCCTATTCACTCTATATATCCTTCCCTTAGGTAACATCATTAGAAATCACTCTGTAAATTTCCATTGTTATGCAGATGATACACAGTTGTATTTATCAATAAAGCCAGAAGAAACTGATCAATTAACTAAACTTCAGAAATGCCTTAAAGACATAAAAAACGGGATGAGGACCAATTTCCTTAAGTTAAATTCAGACAAAACTGAAGTTATTGTTCTTGGCCCCAAACAACTCTTTATCTGATGATATAGTTTCTCTGGATAGCATTGCTCCGGCCTCTAGCACTACCGTAAGAAACCTCGGAGTAATATTTGACCAAGATTTGTCTTTTAATTCCCGTTTAAAACAAACCTCATGGACTGCGTTTTTTTCATCTACGTAATATTGCAAAAATTAGGCCTATCCTGACCCGAAAAGATGCAGAAAAATTAGTTGCTTTTGTTACCTCTAGGCTGGGTTACTGTAACTCCTTATTATCAGGTAGCTCTAATAAGTCTTTAAAAACTCTCCAGCTAATTCAGAATGCAGTGGCACGTGTACTAACAGTAACTAAGAAATGAGATCATATTTCTCCTGTTTTAGCTTCGCTGCACTGGCTCCTTGTAAAATCCAGAATTGAATTTAAAATCCTTCTCCTAACGTACAAAGCTTTAAATGGTCAGGCTCCGTCATATCTTAGAGAGCTCATAGTGCCATATTATCCCACCAGAACACTGCGCTCTGAGAATGCAGGGTTACTTGTGGTCCCTAAAGTCACCAAAGGTACGTAGATCAGGAGCCAGAGCCTTCAGCTATCAGGCTCCTCTCCTGTGGAATCATCTTCCTGTTGCGGTCTGGGAGGCAGACACCGTCTCCACACTCATGTCTCCACTCATGTCCTGTTACTACATCTCGCTAACTCGGCTGTACTGCATGTCACTAACTTGGCTTCTTCTCTGGAGCCTTTGTGCTCCACTGTCTTGCAGATTAACTTATATCGCAGCGGTGACTGGATAGTGTGATGTGTGTGGTTGTGCTGCTGCTGTGGTCCTGCCTGATGCCTCCTGCTGCTGTTACCATTAGTCATAATTCTACTGTTATTATACACATATGATTATTGTCACATATGTATACTATCAGATATTAATATATACTTTCAACATATTGCACCACAATAGCTGTAATTAGAATTATAATATTATAACTGTAATTAATGTTGTTGTAAGCTGTCATTACCATCTGTCCTGCATCTCTCTCTGTCTCACTCTCTCTTTCTGTCTCACTGTGTCATATGCATTACTGTTAATTTATCATGATTATCTGTTCTGTACGACATATATTGCACGTCTGTCCGTCCTGGAAGAGGGATCCCTCCTCAGTTGCTCTTCCTGAGGTTTCTACCATTTCTTTTCCCCCGTTAAAGGGTTTTCTGGGGGGAGTTTTTCCTTATCTGCTGCAAGGGTCCTAAGGACAGAGGGATGACATATGCTGTAAAGCCCTCTGTGGCAAATTGTGATTTGTGATACTGGGCTTTACAAGTAAAATTGATTGATTGATTGATGAATAGGTCAGATGTGGGACTCATCAGGTTGGCTCAGACCAGGGTCCCACAAGAACACAGCAGTGCTCCATTGACTCTAATGCAGTCGTTTCAGATTTCCTTCATTTACAGGCTGGTTTTGTGGATTTGGAGCTAAATGTTGTGCCTGGGGCACATATATTAATGATACTCATTACCTGGAGAGATTGGAAAAAGGTGTAAGTTTCTTCCCGGTTCCAAAACCGAAATCAAACCCTGAAAAGTGTAGGGTTAGCTGGCTAGCTACTGTAGATATATAATCTACTGAATGTATACACATGCTGCTTTTGCTTTTAAATGATTATAACTCTGAAAAAAGACCTACCCTGTTGTACAGGAACAAGTGAAGGGAAGCAGGGAAACTTTGCTGATATTCAACCAGCTGTGTGTCATCGCATTGTACTCAGATGAATGTTGTTTAACTTCCCTTGGAGATCCCTGCCCATCTGACGGTGGAGGTCTGGGTGCTGGCAGCATCACAGGGGCAAAGCCAAACACTGTTCATCTGCACACACTGTGATGCCACATTGCTGGTTCATTATCTTCTAAGTTTCCCTTTATTTTCATTGTTTTTTGTTGCTATCATTAGTTATGTGGTGGTTCTCTTTTACACTGTGATCTGTAGCCTATAGTTCGGCTTTAGCTTCTAACTATCTTTGTCTTTTTAACCTGTTTTTGCTGCTCAGTCAGTTTGACATCCTGAATAGATCCTTCAAGCGCATTTTGTAGATCCCTCTGCCTGCTTCTCTCTGAAATCACTTTTCCAAAAATATGATAATATTTCTTCAGGGAGTGCAGTTAGTTACATTGTGGGCTCCATGCTTACTCTGACAGCTTGACAGATCAGGCGAAAGATTAATTTAGCAGAAAAGCTGGTGCTGTCAAGATGCCTACTTCTAACCCATTCATCCACCACGTCTTCTTTGCATGGGCTTTGTCCATCTTTGTACTATGTTGCCCGACTTTCTGCCATAAATTGGAGACTTTTTCTCTTTAAAAGTTTAAAAGTTTAGTCATGTACTATTATGACTTTACCTCATAAAATTATGACTTTATTTGCATAATATTATGTCCTTTTTTGTTGTATGAATTTATTCTCATTAAATTACAACTTTATTTTTGCAATGCTATGATTTTATGCCTCCACGCTGGCGATAGCTGTGGCCGGTGGCATACAAGCACAAGGTGGTAATTCTAGTTATTTTTAGATTTAGTTGAATTATTATTATCAGTTATTAGGATGTTAAAAGCTGCTGAATGCACCCTGTGTTCATACAGTTTATCAGAATAGCTGAATAGGGTTGTTTGTGTTAATTTTTATATTCCTATGTTGCCAGGATGCCTGCTCCTAACCCATTCATCCACCATGTCTTCTCTGCCATGGACATGTCACTCTTTATACTATGTCACTTGACTTTCTGGCATAAATTTGTGAGTTTTTCTCATAAATTTACGCATTTATTGATGTAATACTGCAACTTTTTCTTGTAAATTTATGAGCTTATTAGCAAAATATCATGACTTTTTTCTTGAAATATCATGACTTTATTATGAAAATCTCAAATTTTTTATTTTCAATACTCTGGCTACTCTTTAATACTCTGTCATGCCCCTCAGTTCTACAGTGCTTTTTAGGGTCTTACAGCTTATTTTGTGGTTTTAGGAAGCACACATTTAGTCCAGTCTCTGTGCTTGCAGTAAAGCTGTGCTAAAGCTGATGTACACTACCTACTTAGCAGAAAACGGCAGACAGACACAGTTAGAGACAAGCTGGAGAACACAGTGGAGCATTTAATAACTAAAGAGAAAGACATTCCCCTTAGAAGTTGGTGGAGAACAAATTTAGAGCTAAAAGTACTTTAAATAGTGGACTTACATTTATTAGGTAAACATAAACATGATTAATGCTAATGTTTCTTGCCTGCTTGATGTGGTATGTTCATAACAACTTTATAAATTGATAATATGTCAGTGTTATGTTGTGATGCCCCCAAGTAGCCACAAAACTAATTAAGTCTAGGTTAATCTGTTCCACTGACTGGTTTGTTGTCATACTAACCATTTAGCAGTGGGCCGTACCTAATGAATATTGCTTGTTCCTCCCCAGGCTTCCTGTTCCACAGGGTCTGTTCAAATGTTGATGGGCCAGCAGCCACCTCTGTGACCAAAAATGTTGCTTCTGTCACGCCCAGGGCATCGGCTATGCCGACTGATGGTAGTGCATCTGGGACTGAGCCAGCTATTGACAGTAAGGCAGGTGTAACTGTTGGTGTCACAACTGGAGCACATCCAACTGATGATGCCGGTAAGAAAAATGAACCTACGCAAGCATCAACACCAGCAAAGCCAACTGCTGCAGTCACAATGCCTCCTGTCCCAACGGCTGCTACATCCAAGCCTACAGACAAGCAAACCCCCACCCAACCACAAGCACCCACTGTCACTAACACACCTGCAGCACCTTCAACTGTCATCTCTGATGCACCCACTACTGTGAAGAATGTTGCCACACCTTTTGCTGCTATGCCCAGCCAACCAAAGACCCCGACACCAGCTGCAACAGCAGACAGCAGCAGCAGCTCAGCGGCACCCCTCTATGCTGCCACGCTGCAGACCTCTGCAGCCCCTGTACCCAGTAAAACTTCTAGGACTGAAGCGGCTATTGGAAATCCTGCCAATGTAGGGACAACCAAGATCACAAAGGTCTCGACAGACACCCCTGCACCAGACCAACAGTCCATGACTCACACCCCCATCACCACCAAGCCAGGCCAGGACAACAAAGGAAGTAAGTTCCTCTTTGAATCCTCTGTAAACCAACATGAAAAGAAAACACAATTTCAAACTGTTGAACTCCATTCTTTTTTTTTTTTTTTAATCTCTGCCTTGCTTAAGCATGGAGGGCATCATGTGTTTGTTCGTGGGTGTGTGACTGAGTGTGTGACAAATTGTTTTGACTGTTTCATATCATTATTGCCTGCTGACTCCTCACTTTTCTTAACCGGCCGGTAAGGGTCACAAGTTTTCTGGAAATCAGCTTGGTAAGAATTACCATCTGTTGCAGGCCACATTTTGGCCCTAGTTGTGGCTCAACAAGTGACATTCATAGAAGAGTTTGGTCTCTTTTTGAACTGCAGCAACTGCAGACTAATTCCATATCCGATATTTTATGAGCCACTAAAGTTAGTCAAAATACAAGATCAATAAATTCCTGTTTTGTTGTCTTCACTGCCATTTTGACTGTAATGGAGCTGGGAGGGACAATTCCACAAATAACTATACACAAAGTTTTACAAGACTAGAAAATTAGAACAGTAAGAAATAAAATATTAAAGAAACAAACCAAACAAAACAGAACAAACTAACAAAAAACAATATGATTAGAAGTCCACTGTCCATACTGTTAGAAGTCCAGTTATAAATGACGTGTCAAAGACTTGTGGCTGTGATTTACTTATTAAAAATACATCCATCCTCATAATTATATTGTATCTATATTACACATACTGGGCCTCTTGACAGGAAAACTTGATCGTCCTTGTGCAATGTGCTGCGGCTCCATTCCAAATAGATGAGGCATGTATTTTACTGGGAAGCTTCTGAAACACGCTGCAACGCATGGTACAATACCATGGCTCGGTGGTACAAGGGGCTGCCTGAGCTGATTGTACCACCGAGGAGATCTGCACTGTATACTGTCTTGTTGAGTTTGGGATGTGTGCACACTTAAATCATTCCACAGCTAGAAACCATGGATTACCAGAACCATCTGGAAACATGGACAGTTATAAAGCAGCCAATAATATAAGAAGATGCAAAAAAGGACTAAGTTACAGTGCACAAGTTAAAGGAGCTGATGAGATCACATCTCACTGGAGTTGTATAATTCCATGTGACAAATAAATGATTGATTGATTGATTGATTGATTGATTGATTGATAGTGAGTACACATAAATATTACCTTTTAATGTATGTTAGCTTAAGGCTAACTTTACAACCCTGTACGACATATGAACATTTACAGTAGAGCATTAAACAGGATAGGAGACATACTGCAGAATTACACACACCTGTACATCACACACACCATGTCAGCTAGAAGTGAGACATGTCAGACAAATTCAAAACAAGATGCGTGTGTACAAAGCTAAACTAACAGCAATGGATTATGTTTCTCCATTCATGTATGTTGGATTTTTCTTTCTTTTGTGAAATTGTGTTTAGCATCTTATAATGAACATCAAAAGAAATAGAATGGTTTGCACACCAGACCAAAAACATCTGGGAAGGCTCAAACTTCGATACAACTAACCTGTATACTGACATAAGCTTAGCGAATACAGTATACTGACAGTGTACTCCCCCATACTGCTGGATTCAAACTTGTTTCAATCCGTTTCTATCGTCAGTCATACACTGTGTCCACTCTAACTAATTCAAGTGGGAGAGGGAGATCGATTTTCCCTGATCAATCACTAGAGACCAACGTATGGGAATGGGTCTGCACCACTACCACTACCACACTGGCATACGCCTGTGGTGTGCCAAATAGGAGCAAAAACAAACCACGATGTCAGGCGATACTGAGAAGACATGTCGATTTACAACAGCCTCCATAGTAGGTCTTTCTTGTCTATGGTATTTGCCATTGTTGTTATCACTTCTCATTGGTTCTGGTGCACTTCTTGTCAGCAGTGGACAACAGCATTAGTCCTGCAGGTGGCACTGACTGGCTAATTGAGTCTCACCACAGCACTATGTGGTTGTTTTATATTTTAAGCAAGAAATCACTGTTTCATGTCATGATGCTAAATCAGAATCAGTCACCTCTGATTTTTTTACATGACTCTGGGTCATCATTGGAATCTGTTTTAAATACTGTATTTCATTATGTAACTTAATTTTATCAGGTGGTTTCAACAAGTTAAAAAAGAGAATTTAAGATCAGAATTTTGTGGGGCACTGTCTGAGGATGATATGTTTATTGGTTGTCATATTGTTTCTGGTTGAAGGTACAGAGGAAGCAACTGTTACGATTACAAGCCACAAGCACATGGCATCAAAGGCCCCAGAGCCAACTGGGAACAAGGGGACCACCAGCAGCCCCTCCACCCCGACTAAAGCAAGACCTCCTGCATCAGAAACCTCTGGTACCAAAACTGGACCATATCCCACGTCCCCACAAAGCACCACCTCCACCACAACCACCACTACCACCACAGCAGCTCAGCCAAAGATGTTTTTGGTAAGACCTGCTGTAGCACAGGGAGCAGTCGATGCTTTTTCTATACATGAGCGTATTACAGAAATGGCTCTCATGCTTTAAGTGACTCAAGAGTCTCTGCTCCATTTGACTGACATACTTATTTTCTTGTCCTCTTATTTACTTTTTTCTGCAGTATTCTCTAAATAACGGACAGGAGGTAAGGTTTTTCTTTATTTTGCTGTCTTTCAATTTGTTACAGACTGTTTTAATTCACACAAATAATACATGTGATAATAAACACAATTCCTGCTCTGACTCTCATCAAGCCTCTGTCATTGTCCTGTCAATGGGAGGCAGGCCCACACCCTTTCCACTCCTTTCTCCACTGACATTTACTCCCCACAGTTTCTTAAGTTTAAGGAGGGAGAACAATTGGGCAACATCCTGCAGGAAGAATAAGAACAATTTCACATGTTTTTAATATCCTACCATCACATGCTGTTAGGGTGCTACGCCTGAGGTGCTACTGATGTAAACATCAGTTGGAACTGCATGTACTGACTTGTGTTGAATTTGTGATGAAATGCAATACTACAGCCCCAACAAACAACTGATTATCAATTATAAATTTATCATCACCTTTTCTCAACTCAAGCAATCATTACATTACCAAAGGACCAACAATAAAAAAAAATCTGTGGGCACCACCAGCTGCAAAAAGCAACATTAAGACACAGAAATAAAATAATCTAACACTTATATAATAATCAGCAGAATAAAACATCACCAAAACAAAAACACACAGATGTATGTATAATATAAACTCTGTCCATTATAACCAGTACAATCAGCTTCTCTGAACCACTATGCAACAGTCCACTCAAGCTCTCTGTTCCACTATAACCAGTCCAGTCTACCTCTCTGTCCCACTATGAAGCAGCCAACTCAGGCTCTCTGGCCCTCTTTTACCAGTCCACTTTGCCTCTCTGTCCCACCATAACCAGTCCACTCTGTCTAGCTGTAACCTGTCCACTCAGTCTGTCTGTCCCACTATAACCAGTCCATTTGGCCTCTCTATCCCACTATAACCAGCACAACCGGCGTCTCTGTCCCACTATAACTAGTCCACTCAGCCATTCTGTCCCACTATAACGAATACGATATCTATTGCACTTCTGTGTGTTCTGGAAGAGGGATCCCTCCTCAGTTGCTCTTCCTGAGGTTTCTACCCCTTTTTTTCCCCATTAAAGGGTTTTTTGGGGGGGAGTTTTTCCTTATCCGCTGTAAGGGTCCAGGCATGTCATATGCTGTAAATTTGTATATTTGCCCAATATCACAAATCACAATTTGCCTCTGACGCAAATTTTGATTTGTGATATTGGGCCTCTGAGGCAAATTTTGATTTGTGATATTGGGTTTTATAAATAAAATTGATTGATTGATTGATTGATTGATTGATTGATAACCAGTCCACTCAGCCTCTTTGTCCCACAATAACCTGTCCTCTCAATCTCTCTGTCCCACTATAACCCATCCACTCAGTCTCTGTGTCTCCCTATAACCAGTCCAATCAGCCTCTCTGTCTCACTATAACCAGTCAACTCTGCCTCTATGTCCAACTGTAACTAGTCCACTCAGCCTCTCTGTCCCACTATAACCAGTCCACTTAATCTCTGTGATCGACTACAAACAGTCCACTCAGCCTCCGTGACCCACTCTATCCATCTCTCTCAACCTCCCTGTCCGACAATAACCAGTCCACTAAGCCTATGTGACCCACTATAACCAGCCCACTCAGCCTCTCTGTCGCACTGTAACCAGTCCACTCGGCCTATCTGTCCCATTATATCCACTCCACTCAGCCTCTCTGTCCCACTGTAACCAGTCCACTTGGCCTCTCCCTCCCACTGTAACCAGTCCACTCAGCCTCTTTGACCCACTATCACCAGTCAACCTAGCCTCTCTGACCCACCGTAACAGTCAACTCAGCCTCTATGTCCCACTATAACCAGTCCACTTAGCCTCTCTGTCCCATGATAACCAGTCAAATCGGCCTCTCTAACCCACAATAACCAGTCCACAGTCTATTTGTCCCACTATTACCAGTCCACTTAGCCTGTCTGTTCCACTATAAACAGTCTACTCGGACTCTCTGTCAGACTATAACCGGTCTGCTCTGCCTCTCTGCCCCACTATGACCAGTCCCCTCAGCCTTTCTGTCTCCCTATAACCAGTCCACTTAGTCTCTCTGACCCACTATAACCAGTCCACTCAAGCTCTCTGTCCCACTGTAACCATTCCACTCAGCCTGTCTAACCCACGATAATCAGTCCACTCAGCCTCTTTGTCCCACTTTAACCAGTCCATTCAGTCTCTTTGTCTCACCATAACCAGGCCAGTCAGCCTCTCTGTCCCAGTATAACCGGTCCACCAGGCCTGTCTTTCCCACTATAATGAGTCCACTCAGCCTCTCTGACCCACTATAACTAGTCCTCTCAGCTCCTCTAACCCACTATAACCAGTCCACTCTGTCTCTCAGTCCCACTATAAACAGTCCACTCAGCCTCTCTGTCTCCCTATAACCAGTCTCCTCAGTCTCTCTGTCCCACTATTAGCAGTCCACTCTGCCTCTCTGTCAGACTATAACCAGTCCGCTCTGCCTCTCTGTCACTTTGCCTCTCAGTCCAACTATCCACAGGCCACTCAGCCTCTCTTTCTCCCTTTAACGAGTCCACTCAACCTCTCTGTCCCACTACTGTATAACCATTCCACTCAGGCTCTCTGTCCCACTATAATCAGTCTACTCAACCTCTGTGTCCCACTATAACCATTCCATTAAGGCTCTCTGTCCCACTATAACCAGTCCACTCAGTCTCTTTGTCTCACCATAACCAGACCAGTCAGCCTCTCTGTCACAGTATAACCGGTCCACCCGGCCTCTCTTTCCCACTATAACGAGTCCACTCAGCCTCTCTGACACACTATAACTAGTCCTCTCAGCCCCTATGACCCACCATAACCAGTCCAGTCTGTCTCTCTGTCCCACTATGACCTCCACTCAGCCTCTCTTTCTCCCTATGACCAGTCCACTTGGTCTTTCTGTCCCACTATCAGCAGTCCATTCAGCCTCTCTGTCTCACTATAACCAGTTCACTCAGCTTCTCTGATCCACTATGGCCAGTCCACTCAGCCTCTCTGTCTCCCTATAGCCAGTCCACTCAATCTCTCTGTCCCACTATAACCAGTCCCCTCAGCCTCTCTGTCCCACTATTACCAGTCCGCTTAGCCTCTCTGTCTTACTATAACCAGTCCACTCAGCCTCTCTGACCCACTTTAACTAGTCCTCTCAGCCCCTATGACCCACCATAACCAGTCCGCTCTGCCTCTCAGTCCCACTATAAACAATCCACTCAGCCTCTCTTTCTCCCTCTAACCAGTCCACTCAACGTCTCTGTCCCACTATAACCATTCCACTCAGGTTCTCTGTCCCACTATAACCAGTCCACTCAGTCTCTATCACACCATAACCAGTCCAGGCTGCCTCTCTGTCCCACTATGACCTCCACTCAGCCTCTCTTTCTCCCTATGACCAGTCCACTCGGTCTCTCTGTCCCACTATCAGCAGTCCACTCAGCCTCTCTGTCTCACTATAACTAGTTCACGCAGCCTCTCTGATCCACTATGACCAGTCCACTCAGCCTCTGTCCCACTATAATCAGTCCACTCTATCTCTCTGTCCCACTATCACCAGTCCACTCAGCCTCTCTGTCTCACTATAACCAGTCCTCTCAGCCTCTCTGACCCACTATAACCAGTCCACTCAACCTCTCTGTCCCACTATAACCAGTTCACTCAGTCTCTGTCACACCATAATCAGTCCAGTCTGCCTCTCTGTCCCACTATGACCTCCACTCAGCCTCTCTTTCTCCCTATGACCAGTTCACTCGGTCTCTCTATCCCACTATCAGCAGTCCATTCAGCCTCTGTCTCACTATAACCAGTTCACTCAGCCTCTCTGATCCACTATGGCCAGTCCACTCAGCCTCTCTGTCTCTCTATAACCAGTCCACTCAGCCTCTCTGTCCCACTATTACCAGTCCGCATAGCCTCTCTGTCTTACTATAACCAGTCCACTCAGCCTCTCTGACCCACTATAACTACTCCTCTCAGCCCCTCTGACCCACTTTAACCAGTCCATCCAGCCTCTCTGTGCCACTTTAACCAGTCCACTCAGCCTCTCTTTCCCACTATAACCAGTCCACTCAGCCTCTGAGACCCACTGTAACCAGTCCACTTGGCCTCTCTCTGCCACTACAATCAGTCACAGTCTCTGTGTCCCACTATATCTGGAGGATCCACTATGAGTATTGTAGCATGTTAGCTTATTAGCCAGAGCGTATCATTGAGGTTGTGTTTGATTTGGATGACTAAGCGCACTTGCTGGGTGGTGCTTTAAATGTGAGACTAATTAAGGTACACACAACATTTTTTGACTATGCCAAATTGCAATTTGCTAACTATATCCATGAGATTGCGACCCTCAATTTGACTGCATTGTTGTTCAGTTTTTGCAGTGTTCACAGCCTGAGTATCACTGTTTGGTATCCTCACATCCTGCTGGAGTGTTTCCTCTCTGGAGCTCTGCCCTTCTGCAGCTTCTTTTCCCCCCTGTAGCTTCTTTTCTGCTACACCAAAAAGTACATCCATGCAAAAGAAAAGACTTTGTCACAGTAACCAGAGTAAAGCTGTGTTATTACTTCCACCCCTGGTAAAATATTTCCTGAATTGATAGGAATGTACAGAACTGCAAAAACAAGACCCAGGTGGTAAAAAATAAAATAGAATTTAGTTGAATTTTCTTTAATTATTTTGCAGTGGGTGCAAATCTTTAAAATAGTCAGTGAAACAAGATTATTATAGTTAACTAAAGAGTAGACTTTAAGAAAAAACAGCACAAACTATATTGATTACAAACAAAACTAACTAAAATAAAATAAATAAATACATGTTTCTGTTATTATACACATATGACTATTGTCACACATGTATACTGCCAGATATTAATACATACTTTCAACATATTGTACCACAGTAGCCAGAACTATAACTCTAATATTATTACTTTCAATAATGTTGTTGTAAGCTACTGTCATTACCTGCATCTCTCTCTCTCTCTCTTTCTCTCTCTCTCTCTGTGTCTCATTGTGTCATACGGATTACTGTTAATTTATTATGCTGATCTGTCCTGTACGACATCTATTGCACGTCTGTCCGTCCTGGAAGAGGGATCCCTCCTCAGTTACTCTTCCTGAGGTTTCTACCGTTTTTTTTCCCCGTTAAAGGGTTTTTTTTGGGGAGTTTTTCCTTAACCGCTGCGAGGGTCATAAGGACAGAGGGATGTCGTATGCTGTAAAGCCCTGTGAGGCAAATTGTGATTTGTGATATTGGGCTTTATAAATAAAATTGAATTGAAATTGAATTGAATAGTTTTAGTCTTTTAAATACGTTTTAAGTCAATTTAAGCATGAGGAGGCACAGTTGTATTGTATTGTTTATGTTTATTGAGACTGGGATAGCTACATGACTCTGAGTCAACTGCCAAGATTTAGCTGTGATGTTGGCCTAAATCTTGTCCCCGACAAATACCCCCTGTAATATCATTTTACTAAAACCTATAACTAATACTGATACTGATAAAAACTATATTTAAACTAAACATTTTTACACAATAGCAACCAAACTGAAACAAGCAAACCCATTGTGGAAACTAACTGTAACTATACTGAAGTGATAACAACAGTGACTCCCCAACAGTGAAGATAAAGATTCCAGTCCCTGGGTGGAAAAAGTGTCTTAGTGGGAGCTCTTCCTGCCTTTCACTAGTTTCCTTTGTTCCCACACCTCTTTCATATACTCACCCTCTCTCTCTCTGACTGACTTACGCAGCTGTGCCGTTCCATAATACACCAGAAATACTCTAACCCCATCACAACACAGGAAGATATGACCTCAACTGTCACCTTTGACCTTCCTGTCCTATTTCTGACAGTGTCAGAGGCTTGGCGAGGGCCAGCTCCCAATTATTTATGGAAAGTAAAATATATGTGATTGTGTACATGTTTACAGATGTTATTCTACCTTCAGGAAGAGGACGAAAAAGATCTGGTGGAGGTGTGCAGGAGGCTGATGGTGACATTGCAAGATGGGAACTGCACCCTCATGTGGCGGCACCACAACGGCCAAATACAATTTGACCGTGTGGAGCTAAATGGCAAAGGTAAAGCACCTTTCTTCCTTTAGAAAAGTCACATTTGTCTGTTAACTGAATTTTCTAAAAGGTATCTGATAACAAATAAATTCAAATGTATCTTACAGTGAAAACCAGCCTTGCAACCCAGTATTACGAGGAAATCACCAAGGTAAGGGTTAATATATTGTACTATCAAAACATGGAAACACCTGCAAGGCTAGTGGCAGCAGGACACCAACAGGCACTGCAGTGTGAAAAGAAGTAATTCTCTTGTTGTATTTTCTACCTAAAGAAACCAACAGATAACAAAACCCTGATAGCCATCCTGGCCTCCTGTGGAGCTCTGCTCATCATGATCGTCATCCTGGCTGTGTGTGCTTCCCACCACCGCAGGCCATACAACGAGAACCAGGTAGGTGGAGAACTTTCCTGCTCCAACATGACAAAGTGTTTTTCATTTGGCCTGTGGGAACCAGAAGTGTTCCTCTGTACCATCCAGTAGTTGGTCTCTATATGATTTTTTTTTATCCATGCTAGTGTAGCATGGTGAGCAAAGTCACTCATAGCTCTAACATGGGGCCCTATTTATAAATCTATAGCACGCGGTCTAAAGTATGCACATGCATTAAGGATGTATACAAATCCACTTTTGCTGGTTAAATGGCACATAATCTAGGCACAAAGTAAGGTGCAAGGGGCAAAGGGTTGTTTTATCAATCAGTTAATCAATTAGTCCATTAATTAATCATAGGTGTGTTTGGGCCGACTGATTCAGCCAATCATTTAAGCAGCACAACTATAAACTGTAGTTATAAACTTGACAGAGGAAACAGAACTAAACTTTTAGCTTCTAAAATAATCAATGAAGTTACACTGCTCCTCGTGTGTAAATGTGCGCAACATTTCTCTTAATGGTGAGTTGGACAGCAGCTCTGCAGCTTTGCTCTGATCTCTGTTCACATTTTACACATTGTCATTCATATTTTCCTATTTAAACAATCTATAGTGCATGGTCTAAAATGCATGGCACAGGTGCATTTAGGGCATGTCCACCTCCACTTTGCTAGATGAACTGTGTATAATCTGTCAGCTCCACAGCTCTCCTCTGCTCTCTGACATGTTCACATTTTTCAGAAGGTCACTAACATTTTCCTCATTAATTGTGTATTATTTTACCCACCCGCAACGGATCACACATCCCTTATGTATAACAAGCAGAGTTTACACACATTTTAACCAGCTTATGTAGGCACATTTTACTATCTGAAAAATGCACCCTTTAAATGGCAGGGAAATACTGCACCAGTCTGAGTGTAGAACAGGTTTTGTTGGTCAATGGTGCAGTCGCTTTCTGCTGCTTGACCACATGTAATTTTAAGAGGAGAGGAGAAACGAGTAAATATGTCTTTATAAGAATGAGACGTCTTTTCCTCTGAAGTGTCACATGAAGCGACATTTGTTTCTGATTACAGCTGGATCAGCTGTCAGGAGGCTTTATTAACACCGATAGAAAGTTTTAATGGAGTTTGTGTCTGCACACGCATAATGTTACATATATATATATAATGATAAAGATACAGATACAGTTATCAGTAACAGAGCAGCAGTGTTTTCTCTCTGTCTAACAATCACCTGCACATGGACAACAACCTGCGCTCTGTATTTATAATCTGTACTGTGTCCTGCTCAGAGTCACACAATGTGTTTATATGAATTATTCATTATTTGCCTCTGTATTTAATGATATTCTGATTGTGAGTCCATTATTTAATAACCCAGAATATGATTGTAGTGCCTTTGAACATTGGAAATAATTTATTAGGTCAAATGTTTCAGGGAAAATTAGAATACATAATAAAAGTTGATGAGGGAAATAACATCGCAAAGAGAAAAATCTTTATAAAGGAAGAAAGTTGTTTCCTTTTTTGTTCAGATTGTGATACACTTGAGTTTAATCTGTTATCTGTCTTCACTCTGTATAAAACTCCAGTGATGTTGTGATGTATCAGATCAGTCTGATCAGCTGCAGCACTGCGCTGTCCAATCAATAACTGATATCTAACCAGGGGGTGTGTCAGTCTGTAAAATACTTCCCCAAAGGCTGCACTTGTATATCCTCACTTCCCTTTCCTCTGAAAGCCTCCTCTCTCCCCGACTCCTCCGAGTGCATTTAACATATTGAGACATCCTACAAGATCGAACGATTTCCGGGTCAAGTGATCGAGGATAGAGGAGTAGAGGAGGGATGTTGGGATGAACGCAATGTGGGCGCTGGCCATGAAAATGACAACTGCATTGGTCTGAAACTAGCAATGGCGGTTTTGTTGTGCTAAAGTGCACATGCTTCAACAGACTTCTCTCCTAACTAGCAGATTAATGCATGAAAAAAAACAAACAAAACTGCAGCTCTAAATTGTAAAAATGTCAATAAGTCATCTTCACACATATTTAAAGGGACTGTTCACCCCAAAATCAAAAACACATATTTTTGCTCTTACCTTTAAGTGTCTATCAGTCTAGATAGTTTTGGTGTGAGTTGCAGAGTGTTGAAGATAGTAGTGTGTATTTACTCATGGACGAGATGCTTGGGACAGCGTAAGATGGTGTCCTCTGCAGCTGAGCTGTAAGGTTAGCTAGCTCAGTTGTTTTTCAGGTGAGCTAGCAGTAAATGCACGCTTCCCTCTGTGCGGTAATATGGTTGGCTGGTGTAGTTTGTTAGAATGAAAAAAGTTCCTACATGAAACTGCTCACAACAAGGTGTATGGATTGTCTTAAGTAACCAAGTCATGATCTCTTGAAAAAGACATTGCCGTTGACTTTTTCAGATGTATTCTTTTTTTTGGAGATTTGAGCACCACAAGCCGAGTGCCATCTAGATCCATTATATTGGAGAGAAGGCAAAAATCTCTGTTGCTGATATCTCCAACACTCAGTGACTCACACCAAAACTAGACTGATAAATAGCACTACAGGTAAGAGTAAATGTGTATTTTTGATTTTGGGGTGAACTGTTCCTTTAAATCAACATAAATATACAAGATCATAAAGAATCAAATAGGAATAAAGAGTTTTTAGAGACTTTGTCCTTTCAATCTCTACAGCAGCACCTGACAGAGGAGCTGCATACAGTGGAGAATGGTTACCACGACAACCCAACGCTGGAGGTGATGGAGGTGCAGCCAGAGATGCAGGAGAAAAAGATGGTGCTCAATGGAGAGTTCAATGACAGCTGGATTGTCCCCATCGACAACCTGCTCAAGGAGGACATACCTGACGAGGAGGATACTCACCTGTAGAGACGGCCAGGGACAGGGAAGAACAAGTAGGAGACAGTGACAGGACCTGTTTAGTTCCAGCCACACCAAAACAAACAAAACAATCCACACATTTTGCTCCATGCCAGTCCCCAGCTCTCACTCCTGACCCTGGACCTGTTGTCCCTGAAATTTTTTTTCACAAACAGATACATCCAATAGATTGGCCAAGCCCACACATTCATGCTGTGTGTCTGATATATTTCTATTGTAGTTTGGTATGACAAAGAAATGAGGGTAAAAAGTCAAACACTTTTAGAAGTACCAATAGAATTGTACACAGTGGCCTTGGAAACTTCAACATATGTCCACTAAATCAATCACAGTTGTGCCTATATTGTAGTTTTTATATGTAAAAAGTGACTCTCTACAGAGTACAATTCAAAGTAAGTCAGTCTGGAAACTCAAAGTGCTCCAAACCCCAAGAGGATTGTGCCTTTTTAGAATGTACACAAGGATGTGTCAATAGAGTATTATGATGTTATTTTGTGAGAATGAGGAAGAGTCAGGTGATGTTGCAAACTGATTCATTTGCTCTGGAGGCCTCATAGAGGTAATGGCAACATCAGCTGCCTCTGGAGGTCCACAGTTACTAACTTAGATAGAAATGACCTCAAGATACTGAAAAGCATCCTGGAGATTTTCCACGAGTGGGTGTTAGCTCTGAGGGAGCTGCTAATGGCTGTAAAAGCAACACTGATGCAGTAATCAGAAGAGGCACATGGGTGTATAGAAATAAGACAAATGAAGGATTTTAATCCATAATGCCACAGATTGACTCGAGGGTGTACAGAGAGCTTGAGGGGACATGTCACAGGTATATTTTGTTTTGTGTTTTCTCTTCGTTTCTTGATACATGACCCTGGCTTAAAGTTTTCATGTGATTACAATCAAGAGAAAAGGCTCCAGCTTTCATCTGATTTTTTTTTAATTATTTGTCCCCTCTGGCTTTCCATAAATGGAGGATATTGCTCAGTTTTCTTAAAAGAAAAATCAGCTGATCATGTTTGTAGTGAGCGTTACCTTCTTTAATTCAAAACTAAAGTCACATTATTACTGATTTTAACTGATAAGTTTAGTTTATTATTTTATTATATATTTCAATCAGTTTTGCTGCAATAGTCTGACTTGGTCTGGTCAGACCAGTAGCATAGGGTGGCTGACTAACATTTAATGGCTTAAGAACAGAAATAAAACAGGGAGTAAACACATTGTGCCTCACCAGCAGATACACTGGGTGTTTCTCAAAGTCAAGGAGGGATCCTCAAACGTCAGAATTTCAAGGATGCTACGTCATTGACCCCTGCCAAAGGACTGTTTCAATAGGCTCTTTCAAGATGAGCCAGTCCTGCGCAGATTTGATCACGGGCGCACAATGCGTGCCAGTTAGTTTTGCTGTTGATTTGCTCTGATGTATTACAAAAGTGGACAGCGATAATCTCGCCGCAGCGAGGGGGCCGCAGTTTTTAGAGCCAGGCACTGCAGTTGCTCTCCACCGACTGCAAGACCCAGGGCATGACGGAAATGCCTGGCTCTCACCTGATCTAATAGCCGATTGGTTTAGACGATGACTCGACAAGATGACATTTCAGATAAACTTTTAATTCGTCTTGAATTTCAGAGATTTAAATTTTATTTGTCTGATTTGAAGGTTTATTCTGTTAACAGAAAACATGTTGTGTCACTGATGGTGAAGTTTATTCATCAGAGACTAAATGCAATTATCATAAACTATACAGTCTACTGTATGTTAACATGGACTGTTTTAATTATTGAAGTAGCCTGTTTGACATCACAGAGACTCCACATAGGCATATCTTTCCAAAAATTCACACATATAATGAAAAGCCCACCCTGAAAACATGTACAAAGGAATTTTCAATCAGTGTCATAGTACCACCTACTGGCAACAGAAACATACTTTTTTCTATGATGTCCCTCTTTTACCAGGTTAATCAGACACACCTCAAATTTGCTGAAATTAAGTCCTTAGACTCTGATGATACTCAGAAATGAAGCTCTTGAGTTTTCATCAAACGCTGTCACCGTGGCGCTGCCTTATTCGCAGTTAAACACGATATTGTTTTTAAGAAGCAATGGATGCTTGAAAACTCATCAAACATGGCACACACATAAGAGGTTCCAAATTCTGTTGTCTGATGTGATTTTTGTGCTTTGATGTGCCAAGATGGCCCAACAGCGCCCCCTAGAAAATTTCAATGAAGCAGCCCTTGAAGCTGGTTTGACCTGCATGTATTAAACTTGGTAGGCACCTGTAACACTCTAAGATGTACAGAAAAGCCTCTTGGAGTCATGTTCCAAACCCACCAGGAAGTCTGCCATTTTGAATATACATGAATTAAGGAACTTGTCCTAGAGATTTTATATGATCGACTTCAAACATTGGTCTGTCCCACTGAAAGACCTTGAAGAAGAAAAGTTATAACAGGCTTGAGTTTTCGATATACGGCGTGACCGTGGCAAGGGGTTAAACTTCCATGTGTCGCCATAAACAGGAAGTGGTTTGTAATTCCATCATACATGGTCCAATCTTCCCCAATCTACACAGGTCTGATGACAGTCCCGCCCGGAACAGATCTATCTCTCAATATTCAGTGAAGAGTACAGCGCCACCTAGCAGCAACAGGAAGTAGGTCTTATCAGACACTTTTTTGATTTACCTGACATTTACATGCTGTGGTGTATATTTCATGTATAGGAACATGACATATTGTTAGTGCCTTCTCCAGCTCCCTCCAGTGGGAAGAGGAAGTGGTACAAAATGTGAAATAGTGAGTTCCGGACTGAATGAAGTATATGCTGTCTCGCTCCTGCATGTGTGCTGTCTGACTTTGACAGAAATGAACTGACGTGTCAGCCAGCATCCTGCCAGCACCCCCGAGTTGCGCAGAGGTGCGAGGGCCCATTCATCGCTGCTTGCAGCTTTAATTATTATTATTATTATTGTTATTGTTCAGAAATGTTTTTGCAAATTCCTGTGAGATGGTACATCTTAGAGACATGAAAATGATTAGAAGTTGTGTGCAAATGCTGCTCAAGATTTTGAATTTGCCAATAGGCCAGATGGGGGTGCTATAATTAAGGTCAAAGAAAATTTGGATTTGAAAGGCCACCACCCTTGCACCGTATGTCAGATTGACATAAAACTCGAGATACTTGGTCAGGTGAAGGGGTTCTACGAAAGCCTACATAATCCTACAGATCCGCCTACTAGAATGTCCACTATATTGAATTTTCTGAAAAACACCATTTTTACATCTCCTCCTAAGACGTAGGTCTGATTTCCACCAAACATTCGGTGAATCATCATGGGATGCAGCTTTGTAAAAGTTATCAAAGACTTTTTGATATGTCATTGCGTTTTGGTGATACTGACCAATGAACTGGATTGAAATGGACTTTAGTCCTTAACCATTGAGCCAATTGACACAAAACTTGTAGAAAATGTCGACAAAAGTATCTGAATCATATTGTGAAAGTTTGATTCAAATCAACCAATAGGGGGCGCTACATAATCAGCCAGAGGTATTTGTACAAAACTTATAGGCCGTTTACACGTACACGGTGATTTTGATAAACGGAGACATCTTCCTTCGTTTGTGCCCTTCGTTTACACGCAAACGGAGATTTCTCCTCTGAAAACGAGTCTTTCTAAAAACTCCGGCCAGAGTGGAGATTTTGGAAAACTCCGGTTGCGCGTTTGCATGTAAACTGAGATAAACGGAGATAAACGGAGTTATAGGCAGCCGACGTCACAGTATGCGCCGGAACTTGCGCCTGTGTCAAAAGTGCGACCTATGTTGCTATGGTGACAATGGATACATGGAAGGCTTGAGCCTCTCGTTACACTGCCACCTACAGGTTTGGCATGCTCTTGTGTATATATACACGGGTAAGTGTAAACGAAGATCTTTTTGAAAACGGAGATGGTGAAATGTCCGTTTATGAAAATAGCCGGCGACGTGTAAACGGCCTCTTAGTCTGCATCATCTAGGGTCATGTCTCAGCTGATGCACAAAATTTAAAAATTATTGCTTAAAGGGGGCGTGGCTTATTACATTAAGACTAAATTTCAAGACATTTTAAAGTCCATACTTCAAAAAATCCTTATAAAGCACCAGTGTGTCCTACACAGCTGTAATTCATCCACTGAATGGTGACAAAACTTTGTCGCACTGTAACCTATAGTCAATTCAGAAGTCCGTCACTCTATATTTTTAAGAATATGCAAAATCAGTTAACATCTATATCTCCAAAAGTCTTCATGCAAATGCACCCACCATTGCCACAAACATTCTTTGGATACTACTGTAGATGTCACGTTTCAAATGGTGTTCAGATCGGTTAAAGTGTAAGCTCACAGTGCTAGTCATTATCTTGTTGTAATTTGTACTGTATGCACGTTGTCTATTTCATATAATTTTTAACCAAATGTCACCAAAATATTTGACAAGATAGGCCTACCTGAAATCAGCAGAATGATGTGTGATTATTTTCAGAATTTTGTCACAAACGCTTTTACTGTTAATGATATCTGATTGTTTTATGAAGATATTCACCAATGAGCTTTAAAGGGGGCGTGGCTCAGCAAATGACTCCACAACGTTTGCATAAATCATCACAAACATTGCAAGCAATGTCTGAAGAGGTACAAGGCACATATCTTGAAAGTTTCATTCAAATTGACCACTAGGGGGCACCACAAATACAAAAAATGGGCATGCAGTAACACAAATCAGACTAAAAATCAGAAATTGATTGTCCAGTCTTTACAAAACTTGCAGGCTATGTTAAATAATAATTATGAAACATGTATTATTCTAAATTGGTCAATAGGGGGTGCCACAAGGTCCAAATAAGTGCAAAGGCCTTTCACAAAATTCAGCCATAAATCAATGAGGGTTTTTTCAAACATCACCAAACTTGGTGGATTTTTTTAATTAAACCATTAAGCATGTCCCCCAAAATGTTCCTGCAGTTGACCAATAGGAAGCGACAGTGCTTCCAAAGAAGAGCGTGGCCCAATAAAGATTTGGACATAAATGGATGAGCATCTGTCTGATTGTCATAAAACCTGATGGTAATCTTTTATGCAGGTGTCCTGAACTGTCAAAGGTCTTTATTCTACTTAGCTCTAAAGATTTAAATTTCCGTATTACTGTCGCTGAGTTTATGGTGATACACACATAATATCTACAACACCTTGGAATCACAGTGTGATTCTGTGTGTGAGTCTGTGAACATACTGTACATTCTGTGGTGATTGAGGACTTTTTCCAGCTGTTCTCTTTACTGCACAATGAAGGGATCAGGGTGTGAATGTGTGTGAGACTGTGTGTGGTGGGGCTTTACCTGGCCTCACCTGTGAACAGCACCTTTTGCATATTCAGTGAAAAGAAAGATTAACCCCCCACACTGCCAACTCTTCCCAAAACAACAGGACACATTTTTAGATAGCCATTTAACTGTCCAAATCTGTGGAGCAGATGAAAGTGTTAATGCTTTATACATTCCTAAGACTTAACAGAAACACCTGAAATGACCTAACAAATCATGAAAAATTCACTGAAAATACTGCTTACATTTGTTCAAATTATTAGAGAGTATCATAATTACCACAGTACCCTGAAACCCCTTCAGTCTGCTGAGGGTTAATGACGCACACCTGGGGGACACTTGATAGCCTGTTCCAATGTGCATCCATCACATGCTAGGAAGGACTCTTGCCTTGCCTCTGTAGAGTCCTCTCTTGGAAAGACCCATCCTACTAAGGTATCGTTGATTTTGAGAAACACCCAATATTTATGTTTCATCTTGTTTGTGGTCACATTTAACTCACTCTCATTCAGATTGCGGAATGAAAAATGTCTTTAAAGCAACTAACTTAAGAGGATCTTGGGAAATGTATTTGGTCATCATTCTGTACTTAACCACTTGTGACCACAGAGGGCGCTGTTCAAGAAAAGTAATGTAGGGGAGAGCGGGGTCAGTTGAGGCAGTGCCTTTTTAGCGAGTTAGAGAGCAATTATGCCATTCACCATGCTCATACTGAGCCACGCCATCACCATCTGACTATTTCTCACATTTTAATCACAGTTTTAAAATCTGAAGCATGCATGTAAAGTTTTGGTTCGTTAGTTATTTTCCTTCTACCGTAATGTTTTTAGTTATGACACATACACAATAGGCCTACATTTTAACCTCTGAGCATACATTTAATGTTGTTTTTATTGGCTTTTTTTTTTTTTTTCAAAATGAAACCAATTTAATAGCCTACATAAACGTATAGGCCACATGTACCTATGGTAACCACATTGAGCTGATAGGTGTCACTGAAATAGAGACTAGGGAGACAGCCTAATTCCATATATCAGTAATTTATGTAAATATAATAATTTCACAATTTTTTTTTAATGTATGAACAAATGACAGTGTAAATACAAGGTGATCAAATGTAAACTGTTTGTTTTTTCTTTCTATTTAAATCATATTTTTCTTTAGCCCTGAAAAAGGTGTGCCAATCGATCCTAACCACTGTCCAAACCGTCCTGGAGAGGAGAAATTTGAGGAGAAAAAAATGTGCTTTTCACACTAAAACTTTATAAATTATTAGCAGACACCTGTATCTGTTCAGGGAGCAAATTATTTTCATTACCATTTGTCTGTGAGTAATTGGAGGTTATTTTGTGTCAAAACAAAAGTGTCCCAATGGACCCCATTCTCCCCTACTTTATGTGTTCTAAAGTGAAAGAAAATTATCTCTGGTTGCAGATGGAGTAAAATGGCCCTGAGTTATTGAAACTATGGTGGTTGTTTACAACAGACAGTTTGGTTTGTAATGTCTCTTTTCGCCTTTGTTTTTCTTCTCTAAATAAGTTTGGCCATCTCTCAGATGAGCTGATGCTTAACACCCCGTTGGACTCCACAAAGTCATTATTCTTGACAGGAGTGATGGCTACCAGGTTGTAATAATATGGAAATATCCTTCAACTACATTGAAATTACAGTATTTTCTACAGCCAATACCCATAAACATTTCAATAATGCGTATACTGTTTAGACAGCAGAGAAATATCACAAAAAGATCAATTCTGCTATAAGAGGAACTCTGGACTGATGCGGATTTTATTTTTTAAACCACCTCTGACACAGACACTGTAAATATATTTCTTTTTTTCACTGATGCTCGAGGGTGGGGTCATGTGTCATTTTTTCAGATATCTGACTTGATATTAAAACCCTTACAGCAGAGCCTGGGCACCTCTATGTCTGAAATTATTTTTGTCATTTTCGATTTTTTAAATAATTTTCTCTTTTAAACACATTAAATTAATATATCTGTACTTATATACAAGTGAATCATCACCTTAGGCACTCCAATCCATCTTTTGTTTGCTTTTGTATTATTTGTGTGTGTCTACAGTTTCACTTTTATTATAGCTGTGATATTTTCACCAAAGTACATTGCCAGTATTTTATATATTTATGGTTTGTTTGCTGCTTAAGGCAAACAACAGGGGTCTGACACACTGGAAGCTGTAAATTGCTGATGGCCTCGGAGGTCATGTTGTTCTACCTGTTCAGATTTGCAAATAAAGGCAGTCTTTTTTTCCACTTTGGTTCTGTGGTTCACCTGTTGTGTATAACTGTCAGTAATATCTGCACATGGCCACGAGGGGGCAGAAAACACCACAGAGACAGGAGTTAAGAAAACCTGAACAAAATACAATCTTTATTCATTATATACATTACATACAATGCAATACTACAAGGCTTTCTACACATTCACTGTATCCACAGAGTAGTGCTCATTGATATGAGAGTACCAGCCTTACAACTCCTGAGTCCCACCCAGAGGTCGAGAAAAGGGCCAGATGGGAGGAAAAAAAGAGACAAAATTAATAACACTAACAATCCATCCATAAAACATTGTTGTGTGGAGGATATTTACCCTAAAACAGCAAAAAGAAAAGTAGTATTTGGCATTGTGTTTTTTTTTTTTTTTTTTTTTACAAAGGTGCTTTCAATTAGTCTTTTTCAACAGCTTTCTTCTGGGACAAAATAAAAAATGCTACAGCAAGCATAGAGTCATAAATGTTGCCAAAGTATCAGAAACAATCCCTCACAAAGCATTTTCATTTTCTTTTATAATCTGGTGTCTTTTTTGTTTTTCTTAATCACTAATTTGTTTTCATTCAGTGGGTATTAGAGCAGCAGAAAAACATACATGAAGTGGCATATAATGCACACGCCTCCTCTTTCCTCCTCTAACAGAACATTAACACACAGAAATGACCAAATATTAGCAGGACTATTTCATGGGGAATTACAGGTTTTCCACTCTCACCTGAGCAACAAGATGCTTCTGTTACTCCCCAAACTGCTTCTCTCACTCCCCAACCATTTCTGTCACTCCCCAGACTGCTTCTCTCACTCCTCAACTACCTCTGTCACTCTCCAAACTGCTTCTGACACTCTCCAACTGTTTGTCACTCCCCAGACTGCTTCTGTCACTCCCCAAACCTCCTCTGTCAATCCCTTACCTGTCTGAAACAACTACTCAGTTCGAGTGCCAGTAAAACACACTAGCCAGATTCTTTACAGTGATGATAGGTACAGTAGATAAGAGCACCCGCAATCACAGTAAACAACACCCCGAGAGCGTTTCACATTTTAAACCACAGTGCACTATGTTAAGTTCTCTGTGTTGCATAAATACACACATTATGAGTTTGAAAGCAAGTTAGGAAGTGAGGCGTCTCGGCTGAATTCACCAGAAACAGATTCAACAGTAAGTGCATTCAATATAAAGCATCAAACTCTTCCATTCAGACAGCGTTTGTAGGAGGTATGAAGCTCATGTCTGACACTTGAAGGACCATACCATTGTTTATTTTGCTTCTACAAATCTCAGTCCACTTGCTACAAATCACGTAGCCTTACAGGAATAGTTGGACGTTCTGGTCAACATTCCCGAGAATCAGATGAAAAGATTGACACTGGATTCATGCCTGTGTATGCTAAATATGAAGCTACTTCCAGCAGTTGGTTAGCTTAACTTAGCATAGAGTCGAAAAGATAGGTATATCCCACTAGTGGCTCTTCTAAAGCTTTATAATTGATAAGTTAGTGGGTTTACAGGAGTTTATGTACTGGACTATATGCTGGCCAGGGGCAGTCCCTTCCTGAAGTCCTGTTGTCAATGTGAGGATGCCAAGCAACCGACAGAGACTACAATGTATTAGTGAGCTTTACACCGAGTTCACACTGGAAGTGCTGCAAAGCACAGTGATTTTTTTGTGGAGCACTGTCCGCATCCCTTGACACTCATGTTAATCATTTGAGCCGTTCACCTAGGATGCGCTGCGCTACGCCGGGATTGCAACATGCAGCCATAGTTTCAGCGTCTGGTCTGTTTTTTTCTGTAAGCAAATCTGGCAAGAAAGCACGTTAATAATATATCATAAACAATATAAAGGTTATAGATGATAAAAATGATCTGAATCTTATGAATTCTAAAATATGCATTCCATCCTTACTTGTTTACATTTGTGTCAGTTGTATGTAAACAGAGAGCGAGCAAGACAAGAAGATACTCAAGCATACACACACACACACAGCTCTACATGTAATTACAACAGAGCAGAGCAGAATCGCTTGTTGGCCTGTGAGAAGAAATACACTTGTGGTGTCAATGGCCAGGCAACTGCTCCGTACTGCTTGCATGTCAATTGACACATCTGCGCGCTTCCACATTCCATGTCCACATGGCGTTAGAGGAGAGAATGGACAGATTCTGTTACTTTGTGACAGAGCCACGTTAAATTTCCCTCTGTTTACAGTCTTTGTGTTAAGCAATGCTGGCTGGCTGCTAGTGGTGACCTCATATTTAGTGTACAGACATGAGAGGAGTGTCAACCTATTGATCAGCTAAATCTCATTAACATCAACATCAACATTACTGCCAACCATTTTTCAAAGCATACTGCAGTTGGTTTAAGTTCACTTCAGCACAATATAAAAAACCCATTTTCACTAGTGACATAGGGAACTCATCACAGTGAACATCATGTCTGCTTTGGTTTTTGTACAAGTGGCATTACTGTTTTAAGTTACAAGTGATTTGCATTCCTCCTCTTCCAAATGAAAAGCTGAGTACAAAAGCAACTCACTCTTGTTCACTACAACAGTCTTCGTGGTCAGGTATGAGCAAAAGCTAATGATGGCTAATGTTAGCAAGCTTTCCTTATTACCACAGGCTTGCTTTAACTTAACAGTGCATAACGTTTAATGACTTGCAAAACAACAGAATGGTCCTTCAATTTCAAAACAAGTGCAATAAATGTCTATAAAATGCCATTAAAGAGAGACTCGCAGGTTAACAGGCTCATGTCTGATCTTTAAATATCAGTTAGCTTCTGTAAGTCAAACACTACATTTCACTCTGATTCCACATGTGACCCTCAATTTTAAATAGTGTTCAACAGGATCTTTAAATTTACCATCAATTTACACATCTAACACACCAGCTTTTAGGCCAGCTCAGCCCTCCTGTTGATGTCTTTTGCCTTTAGTGTTCTTAAAGCTCATAGACAGAAAAAGTCCTGCTCCTGTAAATTATACCCTGATGATGTACAGATTGGGGATAACAGTCATAGCAGCCGCCTTGAGATGACAGGTTATGTAGTGTTGTTCTGTTTGACAGTTTAAATGTAGGATTAAGAGAGACAATAATTTAAGTTTTACCTAAACAGTGAACACTGGCTCTTGTTGATGGGATGTTATTGATAACATTTTAAGTGAAAAAATTGTTAGTGTCTTACTGTGAGTCATTGAGGACAATAGACAAGGAAACTGACAATCAGCAAAAGTGAACATGGACCTCAATAATGATTTGGTGACAGCAGAGTGAAATTTTTTTAAACTTCAGCTAAGAAGCACACCGCGCATCTATGAGCAAGAGGCAGTCCTGCAGTCAGACTTAGGACCCTCTAAAGTGTCCTTGTCTTATTCTTTTGTAGCTGAGTCTCACTTTCAACCTCCTTCTGAGGATCTGAGCAGTATCTGAAATGAGCTCACCTGTCTGCTGGCAAACACAAACACCACCCTTACCACTTCTGGTAATTCATACATAAGAAAACTTGCTTTAAACTTGACAGCATACTTTTCTTCACCTGAAATTTTCTTTTTTTGTTTTTCTGTTTAGCAATGTTACAACCTATATTTGACATGACAGGAGTTTTTCCTTTAACTGTGAGAGACATCAGAATTACTGTGCTGGTAGGAACCTTCTACAGTTTTCTTGCACACACAGTAGCAGCTCCTATATCAGTGAATCAAGTATCATGTTGTCATTATCATGAATAATAAATAAGCCTTTGAATGATGATCATTTTGTTGGCGAGTGGCCATGTGCCATAATACCAGACAAGTTTGTACATGACATAGTTTTATTTGATTATGTAGAGGCTTGGCTGCTTCTGCTTAAAGGGAAACTTAAGTGGTTTTCAACCCAAGCTCTATTTTCCAGTGTTTTTGTGGCCAAGTGACTTGTGGGTCAATTTTTTTTTAAATTGGTCCAGTATTGAGAGAGAGCCCTGCAGCCGCAGCAGAGAAACAGGCTGCATTGTAACCACTGAGGGCAGGTGTGTGTTGTCAATTTATATCCATCAAAAGTGCTTGTTTCTGTCACTGACAGACTCAGATTGTTACCAGAAGTGACTGACAACATTGCAGAAAAGACCCTAAAGAAAAATTCAATGGTTTCCTGTACCTTTTGCTGTTTTGTGTTCACATTTTGCTTAAGGAGAAGTCTCATACTGAAATCTTGCAGACTTTTTCACATAGTGGAAGTCAGCTTCAGCTTCAGGTTTCAGCCATGACACTGAAAATCTTTTAGATAAGAGTAAGGTACACTTTCTTTTCTCCAACACAACACACTATTACCTGCACTCCTCTTTCCAATTTTCACTAAAGTTTCCACTGTTTTTTTCCAGCAACAAATCACCTCTCATAAGATTTTAGAAAGAGACTTTGGTAGCTTGCAACAAGTCACCTCTCGTAAGATTGTAGAACTGGACTTCTTTGTTAGCCTGCAACAGCTCGCCTCTCCCAAGATTTTACAACGGGACTTCTTAGCTAGCCTGCAAAAAGTCATCTCTCATAAGATTTTAGAAAGAGAATTCTTTGCTAGCCTGCAACAAGTCACCTTTCAGAAGATTTTAGAACGAGATGTCTTTGTAAGCCAAGTCAACAAGTCACCTCTCATAAGACATTAGAACCAGACTTCTTTTGTTAGCCTGCAACAAGTCACCTCTTGTAGGATTTTAGAACAAGACCTCTTTGGTAGTAGGGTTGAAATATGGGGAGTAGGGATGAAAGGTTTTCACAGTACAATAACTAAGAAAATATTGTGGTTTCACGGTATCATAGTATTACTGAATTTATATTATCAGTCAGAATGACCCTTAAACAAATGAAAACAGAAGGGCTATTGTTGGTTGAACAAACGTTTTATTACTATAACTGAAACTTGACAACATTTTGTTATTGAAGTATGTGTAAAAAGTCTCCCCTTAGAAAATAACTAAAATAAAAGCGAGATTATCTGTCCAGTTGCATTTTCTTTTCAATATCGTAGATATGCAAATGTAATAATAAACATCATTTTTTATTTCACGGTGTACCTTGAAACTGGTATATCGCTGCAACCCTATTTGTTAGCCTGCAACAATTCACCTCTCAAGAGATTTCAGAATGGGACTTCTTTGTCAGTGAGTCTTGGACACAAAACAGACTGGAACAAATGAAAGGTGCAGAAAAACATTTAATTTTTCTGTAGGATCCTTTGCGTAATGTTGTCAGACACTTATGATAACACTCTAAATCTGTCAATGGCAAAAGCAAGCACTTTTAGTGTATGTAAATTGATGAGGCGCACCTGCCACGAGTGGTTACACTGTAGCCTGTTTCGCCACTGCTGGCTGCAGCGCGCTCACTCAATACTGGACCAATTTCAAAATTTGTTGTTCCCATGAGACACTTAGAAACAAAAACATAGGAAAATAGGTCCAAGTTAAAAGTTAGAGTTTCCCATTAACCACTTTTCAACCACTAATTCACCCACACTGAGTGACCATCCTGTCAACACACAGTGATACAACATGCCTTTTCTTACTCTAATTGTCAAATTGGAATACTGGCAGCAGCACTTCATTCACACACACATATAAATTGTTTGAAATTATTCCCAATAAGTAATAATGAGTATTAAATGTAGAGCCAGAACGTTACTGAATGTGGACCCTGACTTTTTGACAAAGCAAAACAAGAAAGAACATGATCCAGCACAATCCAAAAATGTCCTGTATATGTATATTTACATATTTTGTACACCATCTTACTTGGAATTAAGTCCATTAACTAGTGAGGAAAACAGTGGAACTTCACCTTCTGTCTCCTGGAGTAAATTCAACTTTACCAGCCAGTTTTACAGGGATAACAACCCAAACCAATATAAAACAGGTAGATATGTATTCAACTTTATCTCATAGGATCACTCCTCTGTTGTTACTACAGCACTATTAAATTGGCTTTGCCTCTGCAAGACAGTCAGGGACATAATTAGGGGCATCTGCGGCAGAAAAGCGAGCCAACCACATCATCAAATTGACAGTTTAAATGAGATTGTGCAGGAGGTGCTGAAAGGTTACCAAAAGAACAGACAGAAGAGCCTGTAGCTGTAAGGAGTGAAGCAGTTTCCTGTGTCATGGTCATACAGTCCTGTCTTCAAATAAATTAACAACCAGTGAATCTGAACTGAACTTTCACAACAATTGGGCTGAACAGACGTAATCTCATCATCTGTTTTGCTCCAAACGTGGATGGACGCCTGTGGTTGACTGTGGGCGAAAAAACCCCCAAAAAACTAAAGAGATATCTTGGGAAAAGAAAAACACATACACCTCAGGTCGTGGAGTTTCACTCATATCCAAATAGCACAGTGTAATGCAGACTGTGACAGCAGGAGGTCCCACCAGCGGGGTTCAGGAGTAGAAAAATAGCTGGTCTCGGTCTCCTCCATCCCATCAGGCGCATGGATGAATAGATGTGCAGTCAGTCCTGTGGGTGAGATGGCGGGGTGGGGGCTAGAGCGTGATTAGGTCTACCAGGTTGCCCTTGGGCGGTGTCATGCTGTCTGGGAAGAAGTTGACAAGTGTGTCGAAGAGCTGTGTCCGCTGAGCGTACGTCTGGTCTACATCGGAGAAACCTGACAGATATCAGAGGAGAGACAGAGAGGCAGACAGAAAATCACTAACAGAAAAACTACAGTTCAGTTCAGCAACAGTATGGTGCTGCAGACCAGAGAAATAGACACGTAGATGCCTGATTGGCTGCTGGATTGTATGTCAACAGCGCCACCATATTGGAGAGCACAAGACTTGCCCGTAAACAAATTTAAGTAAACTGGGGAGCTGCAGTTTTTCCAGATAAAAAGCAAAATAACATTTGTATTTCTCAACCAGTTTCAGTGAGTCATTTTTGTATTATAGGGTATATGATCTATGTGTAGTAGAAAAAGACTTAGAATCTTGATAATTAGGCTGTAATCGCTGCTGGACACGTAAGAGAAGAGTGTGTTTGGCTTACATGAACTAAATTAATTAAAATTAACATTATGTGGTAAAAAAAAAAATAAAACAGGTGAACACACAACTTGGAAAAACTCGCATTTGTCAAGCATTGATTTGGCTGATTTTGCTTGGTAATACTTAAAGACATCCCTATATAATAGAATTTAATGTGGCAGTAGACAATTTTTCAACTAGCTAGTGTGCTAGCTAGCAAACACTGGCTGCTTATAATCAAATCCTTGATCATAACATAATATACTAACTTTCACCACTGATTATTTAAGAAAGGACACCACAAAAAACAAAAACAAAAAAAAACAAACATTCTTTGATTATGTCTTATCATTTGTGTTAAGCCCGGTTCTCATCTACCAGAAAATAAAAGCCCACTAATATTAGTACAATGGCCACGTTAGCTAACACTGGCAGCCTGGCAACACTGGGAAAGTCGGTTTATTGTGTTAGTCTGACTAAAACCAGACTTTTCAAATACATGTTAACATGTTTGACTGAAATTATACTAAATAACACACCCAGATAATGCAATTGGGAGTCGGACTACACCTGCATTTATACAGTCGATCGGATCCTAACTGGCCTAGGTGCTCTGCACATGCTTTACAGTTTCTGCCCTGGCCTTGACCCGGAAGTCCAATAGCATTAAATGTGAAACAGAAGAGGAAGCCGGTAATAACATGGCGAAATCTACATCCAGAGCCGTGCAATTTTGGAGGAACGAGGAGACACACAGTTCATGCTGTGTCAGCTGAAAGAGGCAAGTAATTAAAATAAATGGATGGGAGGAAAGCACAGAATGTCAACCTGATTAAAAAAAGGGGAGGAACAGCTGGACAACGTTCGATTTTTTGGTCTGTGACATCATGGGTCAAACCAACAAAGATCCAATACTAGCAAGGTGAAAGGGGACCTATCACCACATACCGTAGCGGAGTCAGACATACTTTGGTCGATAAATGGATTCCCCTCCCTTGTTTGTATACTGGGACAAGGATAGCAGTCCAATCGACCTCTTCGAGCTATAACCTTAACTCCACTGAACTGTGTTCGGAAACATACTGACTGTCAGTTCAAAAAACCCACTACCCTTGTGGTGATCTAGTACAATGCTCCATATTCTGACAACTATTTGAGTCTAATTTATCGAGAGAGCTGTCATCTTAACCTATCATATGTTGGTGCGCAGTCTGATTTTCACATATTTCCTTGCCATCACTGCACATTTATTTGCAAGCACTTTACTACTTAGCTGAACTGGATTCAATAGAAAAGTTCTCAATAAAACATTTTAAGGCAATGACAGCTTTCTTGCGCTTCCAATCCAGAGTGTGAGAGCGTCAATGTATCCACAGAAACTCACTATATCCAAACTCCCACTGTGTGGCGAACAGTGTCTCCAGTCTTTTGGCCTGCCCCACACCTACTGACTGCATGCACAGGGGAGAGGGGGAGTGACTGCGCCGTTGGCAGAGGAGCTGTGGACAACGATAACTCTGAGCGGCATGCATGGGAATGAATTATAGATATATTTCTTGCTTTTTTCCTGTTGGTCTGTATAAGTCACATTTGTTGCTAGTCCATCCATCTTCTAACCATCTTCTAACTCTATCTCAATGACACTGGGATAGGGTTAGAAGATGGTTAGAAGATGGACCCTATCCCAATGACATTGGGATAGGGTTAGATAGGCTAGAGGGTTAGATAGGCTGGAGCCTATCCCAGCTGACATTGGGATAGGCGAGAGGCAGGGTACACCCTGGACAGGTCGCCAGACTATCGCAGGGCAGGACACATAGAGACAGACAACCATTCACGCTCACATTCACACCTACGGACAATTTAGAGTTTTCAATTAACCTAGTCCCCAATCTGCATGTCTTTGGACTGTGGGAGGAAGCCGGAGTGCCCGGAGAGAACCCACGCTGACACGGGGAGAACTTGCAAACTCCGCACAGAAGGGATCGAACCGGCAACCCTCTTGCTGTGAGGCGACAGTGCTAACCACCACACCACTGTGCCACCCTTGTTGCTAGTCACTTTTTCTAAATAAACTCTCTAAGAGGGTCTGAAAAGTCGCCACATCAAGTGAGACAGTGGCCAAGTTGGCAAAGTGAACAGTTTTGAGTTTTTACAATTCTTAATGACAGTGAATTATTTTCTACCACATAATGTTAACATTGAGAAATTCAGGTCATGTAAGCCTAATTTACAGTCCTCCCATGAGCATCGAGCAGCAATTATAGCCTTAACAGTGAGATTCTAATAACTGGAGACAAAACTTTTTTTTTTTTATTACATATAAACCCTTGAATATAAAAATGTCAAACTGAAATCAGTTAAGAATTCTAAACATCATGGGACTTTTTATCCATTTGTTTACAGACAGGTCTTGCACTCTCCAATACAGTGCCCAGAGCCCCCATGCTGCCATGACATAAAGCTGGTTGAAAACCTTTAATCAAATTCTTGTTCCTAGCTGGACACACGTGGTGTTATGTATGAGCAAAGATCAGGTTCTCACCCAGAGGGATGAAGTCAGAGCTGGACTTGAAGAGAGCCGAGGGCAGAAGCTGGAACTGAAGCACAACACAAACGTCTGTTAATGTTCAACAGTAGTGAACAAACAAATAGCCACAGCATATGAAGCTGAAGCTGCTGCTGCAGCAGGTGGTGGAACCCTCAGCATACAAATGAGGGCCAGACACACCTTCTCATCACACAACCATCTGGACACATGGATGTTAGAAACTGCTGCTCCAGCTCTAAGGGACTGTTGCAGAATTCACAAACCAAGTGTTTATTCACAATTTCTCTGTGTCTACTAAACTCTGCTGTACATCTCAACTCTCATCTCTCTACACACCTATCCCTCTGCTTCTCATTTTCTACCAATTCTTATATTGACTTTTCTATCTTCTTTTTCTGTTTTTCTTTCCTCTAGCCAAGAATCTAAAAATAAAATAAAATTTAAAAAAAAAACACGCCAAGAACTAAACTAATATGCAAAAATAAAAAAAAAAAAAAAAAAAAAAAGATCTGCAGTAAACACAGAAGCAGTACCTCTTTGGTCTCGTCGGGGTCTGTGTGGTCCACCGTCAGTGAAAGGTCATTCTGCAGGTATTTTAATGCACTCAGTGGCTCTGATTGTGCTTTTTCCTCAAACCTGGACAATCAAAACACACTGCTGGTAAACATTCCATGCACTCAGCAAAGTCACATGGCTTCAAAAGAACACTAGATGGCAACAAAGCAGAAATAATCCCACAGCTCAGCAGTCAGAGTCCCCATCATGACACGATAGAAGATTTCAGGGCCTCTCTGTAACTTTACATTACTCAGTCAAATGCCTTATTTTTCATGTTGGGGTAAGTGTCATTATGCTTGAACACTGCGGGAGACACATATTAAGTGAGTGGATCTGGGGGTCCTCCCCCAGGAATCTTTGAGTGTCACACACTTCATTTCCTGCATTCTGAATTTTTCTGCATCAGTTTATGGTGGTCTTGTGGTCTGGTAGAATTAAAACTCATATGCAGTTGTCGGCTGTTACAGCACACTTTTAATGAAGAATTGATTCCATGGGCCAAATATAACTGTAGGAAAGCCCCTAGAGTTCAGTTTATAAGTGTTCATTTTACTGATTGTGTGCTGTTAACAGCCCTTTAAGAGGTGCAGAATTATCCGGAGTGTGAAGTCTGATCAGTCTGTCTGCTGAGAAGCTGTGTAGAGCTGTGTGGATTTCTCCTGTTTGGGGAAGTGTGTGTACCTGACTAATGTGACTATTTAAGTTTAAACTGCTTTATTTAAGTACTACAGCTCAATGTAGATTTTAATCTGCAGGAGTTTCAGTAACAGTAAATTAGTTACAGTGAATTTGCTACATTAGCTATGTTGGCTTGCATGTACTAGCTAGGCTAGACATGTGCTCTTCATTTTACATTGTTTGCACAATTGATATTTCTCCTTTGTTGATAATCTGGTTTATGATGTAAAGGAGTTATTTACCTAATTTAAACGCATTTTTATTTATCTGCCTTGCATGTAACATTAGTTTCATGTGTGTTTTCATTTATATGCCTTGCATGTAACATTAGTTTCATGTGTGTTTTCATTTATATGCCTTGCATGTAACCCTAGTTTCATGTGTGTTTCATTTAGTAATTAATATATATTGTATTGTTATATTGTGCTTCACAGAACCACACTTTCTTCAATTAAAGCCACATAAACCTGAAGCTCTGCCTAGTGATTTTCTAACTGAAGTCACACTGCCATAGTGTTCGCATGCTCTGTCCAGTGCATCTGTTGAGGCCCTAGACCTCTTTAATAATAACTAAAATATTAAATTAAAGAAAAAGAATGAAGAAATGTCTAGCAAAGGATGATTCTGTAAAGATTTATTAAGAGAACATTTAAAAGGGATAATGGCTTTCTGCTGGGACAGCATGATTTTTCCCACATTCAGTATTTTTTCTTGCTAAGCTGGATGAACTCTACTCAACAGTAGGGCTGGCCATATAGAGGAAAATATGATCAAGATCACTTTTTCCATATTGATAGATATTGATATTTATCATGATACAGTATATTATAATTGTGTCAGTTTGAAGAGTATCCTGATAATGACTGAAGGAACCAGAGGGTTCATTAGTTAAACTTTATTTCAACATATAAATAGAGTGACATTTAACTGTCCAAACATAGCTTAGTTTAGAATGTCTTTTCTTTTCTTCACAAACCAAAACCCACATTGAATCATTTTTGCAACCATACTTATTCTGCCTTACTAAAATTATACAAGACCACTTACCTTGTAACTTATTAAAATAATGGTATGGTTGCTGCAAGAACCTTTTCAGGTGATGGAAACATTTGTCGCATTCCCATTCAACAGCATATTTGTAGACTATCCTAATCTGCGCTTCATCGATTTTTAGATATCCTTACTACTTCCATATAATGGACATTATACAACAGTTAGTTCCGACCGAGTAATTTGATTGGACGAGAGGCATTCCGTGAGTGCAGATATAGTACAGTATAACATCACTGGGACATGTAACAGTAAAATCACTCCGCTCACAGGTGCTATAAACATAAATACAACCATTAATTAACCAGCTGTCACACTCGCTACATTGACGCAAACTGAAACTATAGCGTTAAACCAAAGAGATTGATATTTTCCTCAAAATTACATTTGAATTAAATTATGAGTGGTCGCTAGGAGAGGACGAGGAAAAGGAAAGCCAGGACTCTTCTGCGCAGACCTCCAGGTGTGTTTGTGTAACATCAGCCGACCTCGACAAACTGGAGAGGAGCAAAAATTAAGCAAACATGGTCAGGAATTATGAATGATCATCTGATGAGGGTACTGATGATGAGGATGAGGGAGAGTGGAAGCTGAATCCAGCCGTGCCAACATCCAGGTTTGCCAACGTTTCATCAGCCGAACTGGATGAAGTTACACAGTTGCATATCAATGTAAATACAAAGTAGCTTGTGAGTTCCTGCCGTGTGTGCTGCGTTGCCTGGCAACAGACAGAGGGAACTGTTTTTTTTCCACGGAGCTACATAACATACTTAAATAATTTATTTCATCACCTTTTGTTAACATTTCCTTACTCAGCATTGCTGTTTAAGCTATTGTTGAACTGTTGTATAAAAGCAATATCACACTCGAGGTCGTGATGTTGTACTGTGTATCGTCACGGCCGTAACTGTCTTCAGCACTCGGCCTGCGGCCTTGTGGCTACGACCGAATCACAGCCGTGACGATATACAGTACATCATCACTCCCTCTCGTGTGATATTGCTTAATTGTGTTGCCTTTTTTGTCAACAGTTTCTCAGCTTTGGAGGAAAAGGTGAGTTTACTTTCAACTAGGATTGCAGCGATACACCTGTTTCAAGGTATACTGTGCAATATAGGCTGACGGTTATCATACTGTGCACATTTGCTTATCTATGATATTGAAAAAAAAAATGCAACTGGACACTGAATCTCCAATTCATTTTAGTTATTTTCAAAGGGGAGACTTTACACATACTTACATTAACAAAAAGGTTTCAAGTTTCAATTATAGCAGTAAAACGTTCAACCAACAATGGCCCTTCTGTTTTCACTCCTTTAGAGTTTATTCTGACTGATAGTAAGATTACCGTGAAACTGTGTTAACTGCTGAGATGGTTACTGTTCCGTGAAAATCTCCTACCGTTACACCTGTACTTTGGGCACTTAAGCATAAGAAGCTCAGTGACTGTGTAAAACAAACCGGGTGTGGATCCAGAGGAGGTAGCATGTTACTACGGGCAGAATGACTGAAGATGCCACATTTCTAAAAAGGCTGTGTTCTGCTTGTTCAACATATGCTTGATGAACTGATCATACTGTCTCCCTCTTGTTGCATTTATGGATAATGAGCGCTGTCTTCGCTGACACTGCTGTCTACTCTGTACGGTCGATCATAGCCCCGCCCCCCTGCAAACAAGCAGAGAATCAGAGCAGAGCCAGAGAAGAGCAGGCAGACTGACTGACTGCGGTTGAGTTTATTTCTGCTGTGTTATTAGCATGGCTACAGGTCATTTCATTTCTTTTAACTTAACTTTTTTTTTTTTACTTAAAGCAACACTAACCTTTCTGGAAATTTTACACTTTACTTTGTTTTAGGTTAAAATGCTATAAATAAGCTGATGGCACACTAAAATGTAAGCAAATTCCACCAGAAATACAAACTCATAATTATACCATTCTCATATGGTTGTAAGAAAACTCTGACTAATCAATGCATTGCAATGATTGGTCCAAGTATCCTTGAGCAAGATACTGAACCCCAAATTAGTCCAGATGATGCTTCCATCGGTATGTGAGTGTGTTAAAAAGTAGTAGCAGGTAGCACCTTGTATGGTAGTCTTGGCCACCAGTGTATGAATATGTGTGTGAATGGGTGAGTGTGACTCATAGTGAAAAAAGCGCTTTGAGTAGTCGAATGACTAGAAAGGTGCTATACAAATGCAGGTCCGTATGTTAATTTGAATATTTCTATATGAAAAACTGATGGACATCCATCTGTAGACAGAGCTCTTGCATCTATGCATATCAAATAAAAATGTCCTAAACATATCATCTTTTTGTCCAAGACAAATTTCCCTGAGGACGATGAAGTAATCTTGGATCTTGAATCTTGATGGATATAAATTTGTGTGATCGTGATCCCCTATCAAGACTGCATTCCTTCATTATACATCCTGTAACAGTGTATCAGATTGGTGCAGTACATGTAATGTAGTGGTGGTGGGAGCTACAGACCTGTATTTCCTGATAAGGTATCTGCAGTGGCGGAGCAGGTACTCCTTAGAGGGCCGACACAGTTTGAGGGACCAGAAGTCGTCCAGGCGCATCTTAGGAGAACAAGACTTCCCAGGGTTTCCACCAAACAGGTAGTGCACCTGGACACACACACAGGAAATACACACTGATTAAAAATTGTATTCACCAGTCTCTTACTGCACACAAACCTAAAAACACCAAAGAGAATACAAGACTTATGAACTGTTATTACTGTCTGCAGTCTGATTGGATGGCTGTGCCCATTAGTGTTGCATAATGCATGATCTTTCTCTTTCCACAGTTAAAAATCTAACTGTTCCATATTACTCATTTTGGTTGTGAATAATGCATCTGAAATATACTTCACTGAAAATCTGTGCTGTTAAATACAACCTGTTTGATGTTGTTTTAGAAAAAAAAACATTTAATCAATTATTAACCAATTAATCAATCATTGATTCACTTCATTTCATTATATTTAATGTTTTCTTTTATTGTAAATTAAGTTAATCATTAATGAATATACTCCAAGAATCGCCACCCTAACATGGTGGAGGGGTTTGCCTGTCCCTGTGAACCTGGGAGCAGGGCTGCTCGCTAATTCGAATTTTAATCTAGATTACGGTTTGGGCTTTCAACGATTATGAAAACAAAATAATCAACATAAAACGATTATGCGCTTCTTGTCAGTTTACTCTCATTGTCTTGTGTTGCAAATCAAATGCACCCAGAAGCTGCGCATGCGCAATACTGCCCCCTCCCCTCCTCTCCTCACGAGCCAGTCAAGTAGGTGTCTCTCTCTCTGTCTCTCTCTCTCTCTCTGCCAAAGCATCAAGAATCAATTAAACAAAACAAAAAATACAATTCGTATTCTCTCTCTCTCTGTCATACAGATTACAGTTAATTTATTATGCTGATCTGTTCTGTACGACATCTATTGCACGTCTGTCCGTCCTGGAAGAGGGAGAGGTTTCTACTGGTTTTTTTTTTCCCCGTTAAAGGAGTTTTTCCTGATCCGCTGTGAGGGTCCAAAGGACAGAGGGAACAAATTGTGATTTGTGATATTGGGTTTTATAAAGAAAATTGAATTGAATTGAATTGAATAGAGCAGCCCTACCTGGGAGCTGTATTGTCAGGGGCTAATAACCCCCTGTAGGGTCTCCCACGGCAAAGTGGTCCCAAGAGTGATTCAAGAAGACCTTGATGAAATGGCGTATTCGGACTTTGAGGACCTCGCCCTATATGGGGACACCAGGCGAGTGTCCCCGGAGGGTTGCCACAATGCGACTGCCGGTTGCTAAGAGAAAGGTGTAGCAAGTGCTTACAATTTTTTTAGTTTGGGACTAGTGTAATCAGAAGGACTACTGTTTGAGGAAATCAATTACTTCCTCATCTTCATCAGCTTCTGTTGTACCACACACCAAAACTGCATTTGGAACTTTAATACTCAGTTTCTCAAAAACCTCCATTTTTCATTTATTGGTACCTTTAAGAAAATGCATTAAACTTTGCACATCAGTAACCCCCTCCTGGCTAGCCTGCCATATTTTTTTGTAGCAAGTGCTTACAATTTTTTTCAAATTTGGAACCTGGGTTACAAAGGTCTCCAACTGTTGTTTGGGCATAAGCATCAACAGCAGTATGAAGTACCTGGTCTTCTTGGATTTTCTGAGCAGTGTCCTGGAATAAGTGCCGGCTGGGGACTCCATAGTTCTGGGGGACTTCGACAATCATGTGGGCAATGACGGAGAAACCTGGAGGGGGGTGACTGGGAGGAACAGCCTGCCTGACCTAAACCTGAGTGGTGTTTTGTTATTGGACTTCTGTGCTAGTCATGGATTGGCCATAACGAATACCATGTTTTGGGACAGGGAGGTTCATAAGTGTACCTGGTACCAGAACACCCAATGTCAAAGATCAATGATCGACTTTGTGGTTGTATCAGCAGCCATGCAGCTGTGTATGTTGTACACTCAGATGACAAGAGGAGCAGAGCTGTCAACTGATCACCACCTGGTGGTGAGTTGGATCAGATGGCGGGGGAGGCTGCCGGACAGACCAGGTAAACCCAAACGTGTAGTGGGGATATCTGGGAACATCTGGCTGAGGCCCCTGTCAGTGAGGTCTTCAACTCTTACTCCCGGAAGAATTTTTTGTGCATCCTGGGGGGAGGCTGGAGACATGGAATCCGAGTGGTCCATAGAACTCCTGAACCCGGCTGTCATGTCCTCCGTGGAGGAGGCAGAGCCTGAGGACTCAGGGGAATCATGTCCTTGGCAGAGGTTGCTGAGGTTGTCAAAAAGCTAGATACACATATATACACACATACACACACACACACACACACACACACACACACACACACATACATACATACATACATATATAAGATGACAACTACCCTTGTTACTGTAAGTAAGTGCAATAAAACCTCTGCCAGTAGAAAGCCAAAACTTTATCAATATATGTGTTCAGCATGGAGAAAGTCATTTCAGTCAGTGAGTCTCTTCAATAGAGGGGGAACAGAGAGCAGAATGAATGATTGCTACTGATGTCTGTGTATTCATGCTTACGCTTTTCACTCAGTATTGTGATGTCTGGAGTAATATTTATTTTACTGACATGTTCGATTTGTTTCCAGTGAGATATTATAGAGTTTATTTACTGACTTTGTTGTTGTAAACATGCCTGTTGTTGCTTTAGACTGTATTAAACTGTCCTGTGTATTTTCCTAAACACTTGACCTAAAAGAAAAACATCAGGAGGTGAGGTGTGTGTGTGTGTGTGTGTGTGTGTGTGTGTGTGTGTGTGTGTGTGTGTGTGTGTGTGTGTGGGCGAAAGGGGGGAGAAGGAGAGAGGGAAACGCCGGTAGAGAGATAGCGTGTGTCATTAGTTACTGTTAATGCCATTTGTTATGCTTCTGTGCATTAATGGCTCATTTTTATTGTTTCTGCATTATGCTGTGCTCCTCAGTCAGATACATGAAAAAAAAGAAAAAAAAAAATTGTTCAAATGTAAAACAATAAACATTGCTACTTTTATTACATTCATTTGTATTTGTTTAAAATTTGTCATTACCAAAAGCTAAAAAAAAAAAAAATCACGGAGTTGCTAGCTGATGAAAATGTCTGGCCCATCGACATTTTCTGGTTTAAAAATCCGGCCAAATTGAATGCGTAATTGAAAAGCCCTGATGTATGTTTTTAGTCACACACTATAAGACTTTGCAAAGACTGGGGCTCTTATTTGGATCACTATTTGGTTAGATTCCTTTGAATTATTTCCCATTCTGCTGTTGGTGGAAAATATTATGCCAAATTTCCTTTAAGAAACATGACATTTTGACAGTTTCTTACATTTCAGCAAAAACACATTACTCTAGAAACACGAGATAAAAGGTGACATATGTTGACAGTATTCTTGAGAATACAGCATTAATAGGATCCATAAAGATAAACTGTTTTTGCGTACAAACTTTTGGATTTCGTTGCCTCAACTCTCTATCAGCCTCTGTTGGTTAGCTGTGATATTTTAGTGGAAGGAGACAGAGGGACTGCGAGATGAACCATTTCAAAAATGAAGATTTCCCACTAAAGTAAGTGTTGGTTGGTGGATCAGATACAAATTGGATTAAACAGACTCTTTTCACTTCACAACTCCACCAGTTTCTCCTTCTTTTCCACAGTCCAAGAAAACTGACGGCCGGGTGCTACTGGCTGCAAATGTAAGCGTCACATCAGCGTAGCGGCGTATTCATTTGGGCTCCACTGACTGCATATGTAGAGAAGCCAGCTGGGTTGTTTACTGTACTGTTTGTCATCTACTCACTTTCAAATGTCCGCCACAGACATTTACATGGATAAACATGGGTAAATGCATGAAAAAAAATCATCACATATCACCTCTGATAATGGTTTATTCATTTAAAAACTCATTGTGCTCGTTTAGCACACTATTTCATGTAGTTTTTATCTGCTGGCGGGTCGCGTAGGGGAGCGTAGCGCGACAAAGATAGAAGAGCCATGTAAAATAGAGAGCTGTCGTGCGACAGACACGAGTTGTCACGCCACTCCCGTTGCCGGTGGAGCCACTGTAATTGATTAACAGGGGGGCGAGCTGCTATGGAACTCGCGCTGCAGACCTGTCGTGCCGCTGATGTGCCCGGTGGATCCCGGCCGTAAGACTTGTTCATGTTCTTGCCTCTCCCTGTAGTCCCCTCCATCTTTAATCTCCTACCAATCTCTACCAACGGTAGACTACGGTACTAAAACACCACGGTACATATGATACCATAATATTGGAGTACTGTAGTACCACGGTACCTCACGGTACCATTACTGTGGGATAAGTTCAAAGTCCAATCACAAGAGGGTGAGTGTCCATGCGCCTTCCAATAACGGCGCGTGCTGGCCACCTGGCACTCAATATGCTGCTGCAGTGGTTTGTTTTCCAGTGACATTTCAGGTATAAACTGAGCTATTGAGTATCTTTAAGCAGTGAAAGTAATTATTTATTTATTTTTACTTGTAGGCTAGATTTGTTTATATATGCTACAGTGATTTGTTTTCCAATGTGTTAAATAAGTTAACAGAGCTCTATGGTGCAAGCATTTTACTCGCATTTGCGACTAAAAATAGTTTTGTGCGAGCAAAAGAAAACATTCAAGGGGCGCCAGTGGCTTAGTGGTAGAGCAGGCGCCCCATGTACAAGGCTGTTGCAGCGGCGGCCTGGGTTCGACTCCGGCCTGTGGCCCTTTGCTGCATGTCACTCCCTCTCTCTCTCTCCCCCCTTCACGCTCGTCTGTCCTATACATTAAAGGCTAAAAAGGCCCCCCAAAAAAATCTTTAAAAAAAAAGAAAAAAAAATCATTCAGGACCAGCAGCAGAAACGAAAGGCAAATCCTGCCGGTTGTGGGTTGAAGGGGGGTCACAGACAGGAATACGGCGAAGCACTATGGCCACCACAAGATAATGGTTTACTGGCAACCGAGAAGCCCGGCTCCAGGTCCAATAATTTCCTCTTCGTTGGTGTCCTGACTGCCCAGAAGTACCTGAACGGCCGAGCTGTGGCGGCACACAGGTATGTGATGTGTCAGAGGAGAAAAACTTTGTGGCAGGTAATGGTCCACAAACCTTACCGCACTGAAGGGACTGTTCTTAACTTATCAGAGGAGGAGGGTGGCTGGTTGATTTTTATTTTATTTATTTATTTTATTTTGATCCCCCCTGTAGCCACAAATATTTTTCCTTGAGCTTTTCAAAGTGACTGGTGGAAAATGCATGACCCTTCACCATGAATTAGATTTTTAAAATTTAGCTGAGTTCATCCGACAACAGCTACGGACAGACGTGCAATAGATGTCGTAACAATGACCAAACAGCCAAACAACTGAGATCATGGGAGTGCGCCCCAACTGATGTAAAACAAACGTGATTTTATTCAGACACTGGAAATCTGTCTCCAACAGTGAGCCACAGCTCCTGAGGAGACATGTTAAATAGATGCTGCATGAATACATATTTTGAGGAAAGCAGAGTTATAGTTGCCTTCAAAAAGTGTTCTGGAGTGTTACTATTGGTGTGATATTGTACTAAATCAGAATGTGTGTGTCCCAGCTGGAACAAAAGAAAGTAGCACACGCTGCCACCCGAACAATTTAGCCAGTAAGCGGACCACCACAAGCATAGGGGAGACTCAAATGATGACCGCGATGGAAAGAGCAAGGAAAGAGCAATTCACTTGCCTCCGGGATTACAAGCCAGTGTATGGAAACATTTCGATTTGTGTGTGTGTGTGTGTGTGTGTGTGTGTGTGTGTGTGTATTAGGGGTGAGCTGTGTGTGTGTTACCTTGTGCATCTCATCGTAGACCAGCTGGTGTGCGAAGCGTGGACACGGCTCCTCCTCCTGCAGAGCCTTGCTTGGGTTTTCTTTCACTGCCTGATCATTCTTATACACACATGACCTGAGCAGGAACGAACACACACACACACACACACACACACACACACACACACACACACAAATAAAGAGGAGGAAGCAAATTGACATTAGTGACCAAAAAAACTTAAAGGGACATTGTGTAACATTTTCAGTTGTTTATTGGCAAAAATCGATGTCTGCATTCATAAATAAATCATCATTGGTGTATTATTACCTCCACCACTAATCTGACTTATTCTCATATAAGGAGAATTTCGGATTTGTTTGTACATTGTGCGGGCCAGGGCGTTTCGCCATCTTGAGAATACATCCGCCAGCAAGGGTTTGGCATTTTCGTTGAGAGCCAGGCCATCGCTGTGAGACTGAGAAGCCAAAGGAGGGGAGCAAGAGGCACTTCGCTGCTACCCCAGCACTACTGCAGCATAACAAAGTCCCACTCTTTGAGCATAATGCAGAATCATGCATGTGCAGCATCACGGGAGACGGAATCCTTGTCGCCAAGAAAGCGCAAATCAATAAGGCAACATGACCGGCGAATTAAAAAAAACGAGGGTCAACATCGGGGTAGCCTTCCCCAGCTGGAGAGAGCGGCTGAAGGAGAAAGGTAATGTAATCACAGGCCAGCGCAAAGTGTGGCTAACAGCGACAAGTGGCTCAACCTCACACACCTCATCCCTCTCCTCGCATCACTGCGCCCTGACAGCTAACAGCGGCTAACAGCGACAAGTGGCTCAACCTCACACACCTCCTCTCTCCTCTCCTCCAGCTGGGAAAGGCTACCCCGATGCTGACCCTCGTTTTTTGAATTCGCCGGTCACGTTGCCTTTTTGATTCCCTTATGCGCTTTCTTGGCGACGAGGATTTCGTCTCCCGTGATGCTGCATATGCATGATCATGCATTATGCTCAAAGAGTGGGACTTTGTTATGCTGCAGTAGTGCCGGGGTAGTAGCGGCGGAGCTAACAGCTGCTAACAGCTGTCAGCGACGCAGTGATGCGAGGAGAGGGATGAGGTGTGTGAGGTTGAGCCACTTCTCAGTTGTCAAAAGACAAGACGTGATTGGTTTGTTTCGATTTATACCTGCCCCAAACAGTCCTACGTTGTAAACACAGCCAGCATGGTGAGGAGGGGGTTTGTCAACTCGCGTCGCGTGTGTCTGTGTAGGAGCCTGAATGAATACTCCATGAAATATCGGATGACATGGTTTCATCAATGTTATCAACAAAAACATCTACAGAAATCAATGTGCAGGAACAGTGAGGGCTGCAGCCTGTTCTTTCTTAATCACTGATCCAAACATGACATGCGCACACACATTCAGATGTACGCTAGGAACATGCTGTTCCTTGCTGGTGAGCAGAGGGATTGTGTGAAGAGGCCAGGAATTGCTCAGAAATGTGACTCTTTGCTGTGTTACTATTTGTATAGCAATGTTGATGAGTGAGAGAGTGTGTGTTGTTTGCGTGCATGCTCTCCGTTAGCTGCTGTGGTGAACATCTTGGCTACAAAGAGCTGCTGTGTGTGAAAGTATTTCCTGAGCGTATGTGTGACTGCGTTCTCTTCCCGTCATTGTGGTGACAATCACAGGAACCTCTCTTGCTGCACAGAGTGTGTTTGTGAGTGTGTTTATCTTTCATCCTCTCTATTACCAGTTGTTGCGGGCAATGTCGTAGATCCAGAAGGAGTTGCGGACGTTCTCTTCGCGTTTGTCCTTATCTTTGCTGAGGCCTGACAGGACGTGGATCTCATTGAGCTCGGGGTCGATGGTGGCTCTCTGGGTGAAGCCCGTCATTGGCACTGTGGTGGGAAAAACAGCAACAACCAAAAATCTAGCATTCAGTTTATTCTTGAATTCAAGAAGATCTGTGCCAAATTTGAGGAAATTCCCTCAAGGCTTTCTGAAGATATTGCATCCACAGGAATTAGACAGAGGCAAGGTCACAGTGACCGAGACCACCAAAATGTAAATTGTGCATCCTTGGGTCCAAGTTGACGTTTGTGCCAAATTTGAAAAAATTCCCTTTAGGTATTTTTGAGATATTATATTCACAAGAATGAGACAGACAAGGTTACCATGATCGTGACCTTTGACACCAAAGTCTAACCAGTTCATCCTTGACTCAAAGTTGTGCATTTGTGCCAAATTTGAAGAAATTCTCTCAACGCGTTCCTAAGATAGTACGTTCACAAGAATGGGATGGATGGAAGAACACGATGATGTTCAAAGGATATCCAGGTCAGTGGTTCTTATTAGCATGGGGGAGTGGGGGAAGCTGAAGCCCTTTTTAAACAGGAATTGTGCAAATTTGCAGGAAAGCCCAATCAGTCTTCTTTCAGCACTGGCAGTAGGGGTGTGCGGAATTCATCGATTCTGCGATGCATTGCGATGCGACACGTGACAATTCTGCATCGATTCATTAACGTTGATTCTTTAATTACTGAATGCAACACAGCTGCAACGCCCAGAACAAAAGAAAGTAGCACGCGCTGCCAACCGAACAATTTAGCCAGTAAGCGGACCACCACAAGCACAGGGGAGACTCAAATGATGAACGCGATGGAAAGAGCAAGGAAAGAGCAATTCACTCGCCTCCGGGATTACAAGCCAGTGTATGGAAACATTTCAATTTGTGTGTGTGTGTGTGTGTATGTGTTACGGGTGAGTCCTGAGATCATAAACAGTTATGAAACATTAGTACACAAAAAAGTTTTTTTTGTAATTTCTAATTGTTGACTAACTGTGATAGGCTGTGTTACCTTTTCCAGTCTGGCGTTCCAAACCATAGTGGGGAGACACTGGTTTTCTGTAGATTATCTTTACAACTTGGCTCGTTGCTGGTAACTAGCTCTAGGAGTCCGGACCAACTCTGCTTGAAGAATGAGGATACAGAACTGACGTCCGTGCAGAAGCACATTTATTTCTCCTCTACAGCAGGAAAACATAACATAACATAACGCAGGGCCTTCTCACAGAGACTATGCTGTAACTGGAGCCTATCTAAACACTAAACAGACTGTAAACAGACTGCAACCACCCGTAGCATGAACAGTACTATTTTCACGGTGCATTCCCGTCCGCATACTCTATACACCGCTTTACTTCCCACAACATCTACTACATCACACCCACACGGCCACCGTCTTAAAGCAAAGGGCTGGCCGGTAACAACTGTGACTATGACAAGAAATGTTGTGAGACCGGGTTTGGCAACAGGTCAGTAGCCTACATGCTCCATTCTATTAAAATGCCGCATTGGTTAAATGGCCCGTTCGGTTGGTATTTTGGACAAGTGAGGCTTTACTGGTATTATGCAATAGCACCACCCAGCAGTGAAACCTGTGTACACGTTTACATGAAAAAAAATTACCCACTCTAAACAAGAGAGAGAGAGAGAGAGAGAGAGAGTGAGAGAGAATGCATGTGTGTTATCTGTACAGAAGGTCTATGTGTGTGTATGTGTTACCTGTACAGAAGGTCTATGTGTGTGCACATTGTGCAGTTACTCATCTTCGCCAGCCAGAAAATTAAAGGGATAGTTCAGGTTTTTGGACATGAAGTTGTGTGAAACGCTGACCATCTGTAGCTCTGATGTGATGGTGTCACTACTCTCAACGAGCCTCCTGCTCTGAGAAATCGCCCGTAGCTTACCGGAGAAAAAGTAGTTCTGAAGATGTACGGGGGACACGTAACTAAAAGGTTTTAAGCTACAAAAAACTATACATGTGTTTTGATAGACTATTTCAATAATTTTAAAACATCCCTGCATTACGTCAGACCTTGCTATCAATTGGGACTACTGATAGCAAGGTCTGACGTAATGCTATCAATTGGGACTATTTTCTGGCCAGTATCACTCCGCCGTGCAGGCCCGCAAGACAGCACGGCAACAGAAATCAATAAGACAGTTCATCACCACGCCGTGCAGGTGCGCAGGATAGCAACGGCTAACGAAAACTTCATCGGCTGTTTCCAACAGAGAACCCGTAGGCTATTATTAGTGAGGAAAAAGATGTACTAGCCCTATATATACCTACTACTACAGCGCAAACACCGGCTCAGGCTCACGACACACCGTCGTCAGCTGCTGTAGGTAAACAGAATACCAAAATGGTGCGAACCTGTGATTTCCCCAGCTGTGGAAATAAAAACATCGCCGGCTCCCAATTCCATCAGTTTCCTGTTACAGATGTAACCCGTAGGCAACTTTGGCTAACCCACCACCAGAACAAAGCAGAGACTGGTCGTAATCACATATGAATTCACATTTCTATGTGACTGATTACTCATGTCATGGATTTAGCAGTTCGCCTAATATAATAAACTAAATGCCTACGGTAAAACGAGGCCGCGAATAATGTAGCTACTCTCCACAACACAACAGGCTATTAGTTCAATCAAACATTTTGTTTTACAGACAATCAGTTACAGACATCGTTATATAGACTGGTATTAGGTAATATATCTCCCTTTGGGCACAGCAGTGCAGAAATTGCGTTTTCTCAGTCCGTTGGGATCTGTGGGCAGCTAAAGTGAGCTTGACATACGTGCAGTTGCTTCACCCTCGCCGGCTTGGTAGCGAGGTTCATCCCAATTGACACAAGCCAAAGTTGCCTACGGGTTACATCTGTAACAGGAAACCGATGGAATTGGGAGCCGGCGATGTTTTTATTCCCACAGCTGTGGAAATCACAAGTTCGCACCATTTTGGTATTCCTCTGTTTACCTACAGCAGCTGATGACGGTGTGTCGTGAGCCTGAGCCGGTGTTTGCACTGTAGTAGCAGATATATATAGGGCTAGTACATCTTTTTCCTCACTAATAATAGCCTACGGGTTCTCTGTTGGAAACAGCCGATGAAGTTTTCGTTAGCCGTTGCTATCCTGCGCACCTGCACGGCGTGGTGATGAACTGTCTTATTGATTTCTGTTGCCGTGCTGTCTTGCGGGCCTGCACGGCGGAGTGATACTGGCCAGAAAATAGTCCCAATTGATAGCAAGGTCTGACGTAATGCGGGGATGTTTTAAAATTATTGAAATAGTCTAACAAAACACATGCATACTTTTTTGTAGCTTAAAACCTTTTGGTTACGTGTCCCCCGTACATCTTCAGAACTACTTTTTCTCCGGTAAGCTACGGGCGATTTCTCAGAGCAGGAGGCTCGTTGAGAGTAGTGACACCGTCACATCAGAGCTACAGATGGTCAGCGTTTCACACAACTTCATGTCCAAAAACCCGAACTATCACTTTAAGCTTTCCAGACTGAAAGTCTTATTAATTTTTGAAGAGTGGACTTTATTTCCCTGGAAAATGTGTTTCCATTTGTAAATAAAAGATGGTGGAAGTAAATATTTTATTTACTTGATTTAATTGATATTTACAAATGTACATTGTATTAAAAGTAAGAAGGAGCCACTGATTGAGAAAAAAATCAATCCTGTATGGGAAAAAAAGCATTGATAATTGCAGAATCGTAGCACCCTGAATCGTAATCGCATCACCAGTTGTTATAATCACAGAATCGCAGAATCGTAGCACCCTGAATCAATAATCGAATCGAATCGTGAGGTACCTTGGATGGCACACCCCTAATTGGCAGTATAAAAACTAAATCGGGGAGTGCAGCAAAATGCCGCCTACCTACTTTTGTTTATACAGAATGCGCCTTTTTCGGGGCAATGGGGGGGCGTGAGCAAGTAACAAAACGTGTAGTTCAGCGTGTGACGTAAACAGTGAAATGGTAGGGAAGTCCTTCGGCGATTCTCTTGTAAGTCGGCCCGTTCTTCACTGCTCCTGTCATCTGACAGTTAATGGTATCTGTCAGGTTTGCATTTCCCTCCCTAATTCCTGCTATCAGCTGTTTCCTGTTTATCCACTGCCAGTAGGTCGCACTTGCGGTGTCATCAACAGCTCCTCCCACAAGTCTTCAACAGCCCCTCCCGTTGCGGAAGGCCGCCTCCGTCTTTTTAAACTAAAAGGGTTCTGCCAATATGACTACCCTACGAGGCAGAAAATTGGGCACCTCGGATCAAGTCGCCAATCCGGCTCAGTGTGTCTAAACGCTCGCAGCTTGCCGGCAAAACGGCCCAACAGTCACAAGAAAATCTGGCAAAGGGGCTTGAATACAGCCATCAGTCTGACAAGCTCCATTAATAATAAAACATTCTTTTCCCCAAATTAAAAAGTTTCATAAAGTAAATCTAAAGCAAACTACTTGATAACATGGCAACACGGTGCCATGGCAACAAGGCCCTGCAAAGACAGAGCGAACAGCATGCAAATTGAGCCCAGTGTGAAAGGAAAACGCCGACACACACTGTTGTTCTCCGGTGATTACAGCAGGCCTGAGAGCTGCTGTGGGTGGAGCACGGCCCCAAACATGACATGGTGGGGAATCAGTTCCCTCACAATTAGAGCAATCCCAGCATTCTGAAATGAAAGCCTCAATCAGATGACGGATCAAATGTAAACAGTGGATGTTTATATGCAGGGCTCATACTGCAATTATTTTGTTCAATATTGCTGTACTGATGTGTTTCTATACAATTAAACTCAGTCAGATTGTCTGTTATGTAAAACCACACAGCTGGGCTCAGTCATACATCTGCTTAGTAGAGACCTTATAACTAGTTCTGCCTCATCTTATCCCCAATAAATGTTGTACCACTGTACTGCACAGTACTAACATGTTAAAGATTTCAGCAGTCAAACCAAAGTAATTAATAATTTATTATTTCCCCATGAATTGTTTACACAGAGGAAGCACAAGAACAAGCATAAAATTCATAATAAGCAGCAA